GAAATAACAGGAGAAATCATGGAGAGAAAGAAGCTCAGGAAAACAATACCACAGAGTTGTTAAGAAAAACCTCTGGGCTCAGCCTCTAGCTGCTGTGTTGTTCTCATCCTGAATAGCACCTGGGGGCTGACTTTTAGATGAACCAACAGAACTCAATTCCTAGACTGACCACTGAGCGGCTGCCAAGTGGAAATACCTAAATAGCACTGCAGAGGCTTTGTCAAGTGAACATTCAATGCCACCACAGCATGCAGTTGACAGGACTCTCAGCTGAGCTGACCAGGCAGGCTGCCCACTAAGAAAAAAGTATCAACATTCTAATGGAATTTTAAAATGACACCCAGATTCATAATATTCTGTATGTCTAACAAATAACTCAATATTACTGCACATATAAAGAAATAGGGAAATCTCAACTTGCATGGGAAAAGACGATCAAAAGATGCCACTCAGGTCATAAAATTTTGCTATTTTCTGACAAAGACTTTAAAACAGTTGTTGTAAAAATGTTCCAATGTGTTTATTTATTTACCTTTATTTTATTTTTTTATATGGTGCCAGAGATGGAACCCAGTGCCTCATGCATGCTAGGCAAGCACTCTACCACTGAGCCACAAGCCTGGCCCATCCAATGTGTTTATTATGTATAAGTTATGGAGACTGGAGCTGAATCCATTGACTCAATTATTTTTCACAGTTCTTAAATAAACCATAACCTGTTACTGCTTCATTACAAAGTCAAAATACAGGAAAAGATGTAGGTAAGCCATAAGACAAAAATATTCCACATTTTTCCTAATATCAGAAACAACCACAAGCACAATAACATGAGTGTAGGTGGCAATGAGCTGCAGCAGAGTCAGCTGTTAGCAGTGACTTTCCCTTGAGAGTTTGTGTGTGCATCATAAAATTGGGGAAATAGTTTTATAGAAAACTATAAAAATATGGAAAACAATGTGTTATGATTTGGATGGGTGTCCCCCAGGAGTGTTCACAGGTGAGATGATTAGATCACAAGAGCTGTAACTAATCAGTCCATCCTAGTTTGAATGGGCTAACGGGGTGGTAACTGTAGGCAGGTGGGTCATGGCTGGAGAAGGTGGATCACTGGGTATGTGCCCTGGAAGGCTGCATCTTCCCTGCAGCCCCTTCCCATGCCCCTCTCTCTGCTTCCTAGCCACCATGAGATGAGCACTTTTCCTTTGCCATCACCCTCCCACCATGATCTGCCTCATCTCATGCCCATAGCAATGGAGTCAGCCCACCATGGAATGAACCTCCGAAACTGAACCAAATAAATTTTTCCTTCTCTAGGTTGTTTTCCTTTTTTAAAATATGTTTTGGTTGTATGTGGACACAGAACCTTTATTTTATTTATTTATTTTTACATGGTGCTGAGGATCAAACCAAGTGTCTCACATGTGCCTTGTAGGCAAGCTCTCTACTGCTGAGCCACAATCCCAACCCTCTAGGTTGTTCTTTTTTTTTTTTTTTTTTTTAAGTTGTAGTTGAACACAATACCTTTATTATTTATTTATTTATTTTTATGTGGTGCTGAGGATCGAAGCCAGTGCCTCACAGGTGCTAGGTGAGTGCTCTACCGCTGAGTCACAACCCCAGTCCCGCTTGGTTGTTCTTATCAGATATTTTGGTCACAGTGAGGAAAAGCAGAATAAACACAATTATAATTTATTTTAAAAAATATTAATCAGGGCTGGAGATAATATAACTCATTGGTAGAGTGCCTAGCAGGCATGACGCCTACATTTGATCCCCAGCACCACATACACACAGACAAAATTATCAATTATATTTTGTGCACTTTAAGGAAAAAAATGCAATTCAAATTCCAGCCATCTTATGGCAATAATATCTGGTTAAATAATAGCTGGATTCAAGTTTTATGTATTAAAAAATACAAAAGCACTGAAGTTATAGGAAAATAGAGGTAAACATTCAAATAACCTTGGACCAAGACAAGACTGCTTGAGATGATACAAAGGCAGAACCAACAAGTGACTGCAGTACAGGGAGAGCCCTTGGCAACAGTAGGGAAAGCACTGCCACCCACGACTCATGGCAGGGACAAGGGCTATATGCAGTTGGAAGGAAATCTGATAAATCTATGAAAAGTAAAAAGGGAATAATATCCTTTGACCCAGGGACCCCATACCTGAAAATCTGCCCCATGAAAACACAAAGCCAATACAACAGGACACAACACATGACGCTTACTCAGAGGGTGGCCATACACCATGCCCTGTGGAGGGCACACACTGACAAGAACAAAGTGGGCCTGTCAGATGGCCTGTAGTGTTCCCACAAGCAGGTGCTGACAGAGATAAGCAAGAGCAAAGAAAATTCTAACTCAGAATTACCCTGGGTTCAATCCATAGCACCATGGAGCAGGGAGGGGGACACATCATTTTAAATATCGCAAGACAGAATATATATTTAAAAATTAAAAAGAAAAAAAATGGAGAAAAGTAATTCAACATTTTATGATGGGGTTAACCTTTACTATAGAAAGAGCTTTATTATACCAATAGAAAAAAATAAACGTCTACAGAGAAATGGCCAATGTTACCAGCAGGCAATTCATGGAAGAAAAATTGTTGTATGTAGTCAATCTCACCAACATTTTTGAAAGAATAGACATTTTTAAAAAGAGTTTGAAAGTATTAACCAAAATGAAAGCTGTGTTGGTGGAATCAGGGAATGGTGCCTTGCACATCACACTGTGTGATGGAAACACAACTCTTCTGGAGAACAAGTTAGCAATGAAAAGCCTTAAACAGACACAGCTATCTTGACTCAGAAATTCTCTCTCTAGGAATTCGTGCTATGGAAATCATCAGAAAAACACACATAGGTATGTTTATGGCATCTCTCCATAAAATAATTAAAATTGAAAACAATCTAAAAGCCCATTTGCAGAGAGAGTCGATGCACAGATGGCAATGCACCTGTTGAAACAAGGATGCAGACTTCCAGTTAAATCAGTGGCTGAATGTTTGTGTGGTATTTATACCTCCTCTTTTGAAATGTTCATCAAAAATAACAGAAAAATAAGCATTTTATTGCATTGAAAACCTGAGAGGAGGTTTTCCAGCACTGTTGGGAAATTTCTAGAAGAGAGTAAAGTCCAGCAAGAGGTTAATCTAGACATGTAATGGAAAACAGGAACTTAAAACCCCCAACAGGAAAAAACAAGGTCCTCCATAAAAGTGAGTTTTGCCAACAGAATTCCTGAGTAACTCGCGCATGAGAAGCATCATCAACTCAGAGAACTCACAGTGCATGTGGTTATTGAGAAATAAACCAAAGGGCAGTGAGATGGTAGTACCTTCTCTCAGAGGTGCGGGTTGGTGTTAGTATGAAAATTAATGTCACTTAGTTTTACTATTGCTGTCAGCAAGGTCTAGACCAGAGGAGCTCCATAAAGTGGGATGCCCAAGTGATGCCTTCCTGGAAGGGTACTAGTCCCAAGTGACAGCTGAGACCCAAGAACTTATGGCCCCGGAACTGGTGGCCTGGCCCAAGAGGATCCACCTCAATGCCAGCCCCATTCTCCTCCTTACACAGCCACTACCAACAGGTCAACAGAGTGCCCCTCCTGCCCATATGCATGGGCTACACTCTATATAGAGGTGCCCAGATGAAGCCTGGCTGTTAAACAGAGGTTGATGAGATAGACAAATACTTACATTTTCCTATTCTATAAACATCCACATTACTTGAATTTCTTTACCATGAGCATATATTCATAATTATATAAGTATGTATAATATGGTATATATTTAAATAACTCACATATTTAATTCATATATTTAAATCTAAAGATAGACTCAGATCAATATTGATATATCATCTCAAGAGGCATTAGAGCAAAAAAGCATAATATAAAATAATGGTTTTATTTTTGTAGAAAAGTAGTATTTTATAAACACATGTGCTAACAAAAAGTATGGAAAGACACAGGATGCTAACCACAGTTAGCTCTGCATAAAGGCAACTGTTATTAGTTTACATTTGTTTTCTGTATTTTAAGGAACTTTTTATGTAATAAGAAATTACTGGGCTGGGATTGTGGCTCAGCAGTAGAGCGCTCGCCTAGCACGAGCGGGACCCGGGTTCGATTCTCAGCACCACATAAAAATAAAGGCATTGTGTTGTGTCCATCTACAAAAAAGATATTCTTTCTCTCTCTCTCTCTCCTTTAAAAAAAAGATATTAAAAAAAGAAATTACTATCAAGACTTGTTTCCATCCCAAATGTAGAACTACTTAAAAGTTAATTATTTGAAGTGTTATTAAAGCTATATAATACAGGTATGAAGATGTGAGGGGGAAAAGAGAAGAAGTAGGTCACATTAGATTGGGTAGAGAGAAATGATGGGAAGAGAGGAGAGGGGAGGGGAGGGAAGGGGAAGGGGGGAATGGAAGGACAGCAGAATAGACTTTATTATTGCTGTGGGTATATACGTGACTACATGACCAATGTAATTCTGCAACCAGTACACTCAGAAAAATGAGAAATTATATCCCATCTGATTCAAATGTATGATATGTCAAGATCATTGTACTGTCATGTGTAACTAATTAAAACAAATTTTAAAAAGCTGTATAATAAACTCAAGGAAACTTACAGCTTTTCTAACCAAAAATATTCCTCAAAAAACAAAAAAGGAGGTTGTCCTTAGACACACTCTGGGAAATCAGAAGTCACCAGACAAGCCTGGAAGGAAGATTGGGGGAGGTGGGTCCCTTTTGTTCTCAGCACTAGAGGTCCCAGACTGCTGGTGGGAAGAACCCCTCACTAACTCAGCACTTGTTGAGTCTTGTTCTAAGCATACAGAGGTGCTGTGCAAACACCAATGGAATGGATACACAGGGAAAACACAGGTATCTACATGAAGCCCTCTCCTTGCATAAGCACATATCTAGGCAAAACTTCAAGCCAGGCATGGAACCGGCATTTCATGAAGAGCGCTAACTTACAGGATGTGTGGCTGAAAGTCTTCCCGTCACAGTTCCCGTTTGATTCCACTTGGAGGAAATGGATCCCTGTATTATTCAAAAGAATCAGCTTAGTCTCTGGAAATCCTATGAGAAGCAAAAAACATGCTGGGCCCTTCACCCACAACACCGCACTTGCTGCTCTGTTCCTCCGGAGGTCAATAAGTGCTGGCCCTGAGCTCCCAATCCCAAAATGTCCTTGGGGTTACAGAGTCCTACACAGGATCAAGGGTGGGTGAAAAGGAAGCTTCCCTCTAACCCAGGGAGAAGCAGAAATAGAACACAGGGTTTTGTGTCCCTTATAAACCTATGTGAGGGGGGAAAAAGAAAGATAATGGCTGTGGGGGACTCAGCTGGACTCAAGGCGGGGCTGTCTACTATAGACAGGTTCTGTCACTTTCTGTGTGGCCTCAAACAAGGCAGAGAACATCTCTGACTGCTATCTCCTCATGTTCAAACCAAAATGACAACATCTACCTCAAATGGTTCTATTAGAGATCCAGTGATAGATGTGAGTACAGGAGGCCAGTACAGAGTTGCCTAGGGCTTGATGTTAGCCTGGGCTAAGCAGACCTGAATAATAACAGACCACAGCATAGAGTTCCAAGAACAGCAGACAGTTCATCATATTAGAATTCCAAGTAAAGAGCTTTGTAATGTTTTGAACAACCAATAAAAAAAAAAGAATTCCAAGTAATGCATGTATCTGAACTCACACAAGCCATGTTCCTTATTCACAATTTCTTTATTTTTTTAAGTCTCAGTTACCTTTTTCATGCAAGCTAATAATCCATCTATAAAGGTTGACTTGATCTTGTGAATCTAAATAACAAAGATGAGAGTAATCATTTTCTTTACGTAAGTATTTATATAGGAACAAGTGCCACAACAGCATTTCACACAGTGTAGGCAGGTGCTGCTTCAGTCCTCAGATGACCTCGGGTGGTACCAGGATTGAATAACACTGACCAACTGAGAAATAAGCCACCCTTCCATTTGAAAATAAATCTATTATTCTGTGAAATTCTAGATTGAGTTTATTACAAATCTTCTTTTTGGAAAATTGCAAAGATATTGCAAATAAATAAATAATCAGCTTAGGGTCCCCTGTGATGAGCCCTTTCTAGTTCTCTCCCATCCTTGACCTCACTTAAGAAGAAAGGGCCTGTTTGGTACCAGTGCATTCTACAGACAGCAGGTCACAGGCTCAGTAAATAACAGGACTGGTTGTCTAGATAATGATAGTTATCAAAGCGGCTCACAGAGAACTTGTGACATAACGGGCAACTGTGTGAACAGAAAGAGAGTACCTAGAGGAGGAAAGGGGGTTTGTCCTTAACCTTGGCAAACACTACTATGTAAAGACAAAAGGCTGCCTGAAGGTGGGGGACTTTTGTGAGTACTGGTGGAAGTTGCATCCACACAGAGGTCACAAGTAAGGACTTGTTCTCAATGTTCTTCCACATATGAGCCCATGAGCTCTCAGGACTGGATGGGGCTCACTTGAGACTGGAGTAAGAAGGTGCAGGAAGGGGTGCTAACACAAGGCCAGTGTGAGAGAACCACAGCCTCTTGTAACACTGCCAACACACTTCAGCAAACATGAATTTGTTCATGGAGAGAGGGCCTGGTTCTTCCCCCATCACACAAAACTTTTAAAGAGTCAACTTACGTGCCTGTATTCCAAAATTGTCTTGGGTAAGGGATGAAGGTCTTGCAGAGAACTTAACTACCAAAAAAAAAAAAGAAACATAAATCACCAATGTAATTCCTTCCTTCATTTCAATATTTCAAGCACTTATTTTTAGCCAGAGAAAGTCCTAGCAATAAATGGTGAAATTGAGCATATTTTCCAAAAAGAAGATTTGTAATAAACTCAGTCTATCAAGTATCTTAATCCTAACCTCTTATGAAATCATTCCAATGTTCACACATCGGAGCTAAAAGCACTTCACATATGCTTGGAAACAGGTTCTCTGAAGATTTGTATTAGTGAAATCTAAATCCCATAGAGGTGAGTAAACTGAGAAAATACCTACAAAGATGTGTATCAGTGGTTTTCACCGAACCCAATATTTGACTTATATGCTAGTCATCTGGGTATAATTCCAGTGAGGTAGCACTGGAATATGATTATAAACTTTTTAGTCAATTTTAAAATTTAGTCAAATATAGCATACATATAGGAAAGTACAAGATCATAAGAACAGTTTGTTGAAGTATCACAAAGTAAACACAATTGCATAAACACTGCCCATATCAAGACACAGGACAGGGGCTGGGGCCATGGCTCAGTGGAAGAGCGCTTGCCTAGCATGTGTGAGGCACTGGGTTTGATTCTCAGCACCACATATAAACAAATAACTAATAAAAATTTTTTTAAAAGACACGAGACATTCCACAACATGAATTTTGGCAAACAAATGCCACAGTTCTGCTGGGCCTACACATACAGAGGAGCTGTGATGAAAAATTCTGGCCCACTTCAGCAAACATGCTGCTGACTCTCCAGGATAGATGCTACCTTATCCCCTCAGCAATGTGCGCAAGTTCCAGCGCCTCCCCACCCTTACCAAGGCATGCAGTCATTGGTCTTGATTGTAGCTGTTTTGGTAGCTGAGAATTGTTATCTCTGTAGTTTTAACTTGTATTTCCCCCAGTGAATCATAAAGTTGGCCACAATTTATGTATTTATTGACCAATTGTACCTCTTTTTTTCATTAAGCTCCTTCTAGTCTTTTACTCTATTAAAAAATTGGTTTGTGTGTCTTTCTTTTCTTGATAGTAGAAATTTGTTATTTACTTAGTATGATAGTCTCTAGATTCATCCATTTACTAGCAAATGTCAACAAAGTCATTCTTTTTTACGGTAAGTAATAATCCACTGTGTGTGTGTGTATATGTATGTATGTGTGTGTGTGTATATATATATATAATTTTTTTTCCACAAAAATGGGATCCTAACTAGAATAAGATAAATTCCATGCTAATAAAATTAATCAAAATGTCATGTACAACTAAAAAGAACCAACAAATAAATAAAATAAAAGCAAAAAGTATTAACTCCTCAAAAAAAAAGTGTTTGATCACATGAAACTGTGCAAAAGTACTGCAAATGTTAAGGACCAGAAACAGAGGCTGTAGACTGCCTGCAGCCCTGCTGCCTTATCAAAAGCTGTGCTGGCTCCTGACACTGCATTCCTTTCTGATCTCCCTTTCACTCTGCCACTCTAGTCTCTCTGGCACCTCTTTTCTCTGACCTCTAAGTATCAGTTTTTCAGGGTTGAACTCCATGGTTGTAAATGTTGACTGCACATCAAAATTAGTGGAGAGCTGGCCCATGCCTAGACCACCCAGCTGATCCTAACTTAGTGGATCAGCTGTGTACCTGGCATCAATGTTTTCCAAATTTCCAGTCAGGGTGGAGGACCACTGCCCAGGGTGAATGCAAGAAGTTGGCTGGTAGCTTTTGTATATGTTTTGTATATGTTTTTGTATATGTCCTCAGTTCCATCCCATAGATACACATGTTCTTTTGTTCTAATGGACCCAAGACTGAATGTTTGACATCCCCAAATAAACCATTCCTCTCTATTTTCTCTGAGTAGTAGCCCATCTATTTGACCATGTGCACAACTCAGAAAACCTGTAACTACACATTGCAACTGTTGCTCATACTCACAGTATATATTTTAACTCATCTATTGAAGGGCACCTAGGCTGGTCCTATAGTTTAGCTATTGAGTTGAGCTGCTATAAAAATTGATGCAGCTGCATCATTATAATATGCTGATTTTAAGTCCTTTGGGTATAAGCCAAGGAGTGGGATAACTAGGTCAAATGGTGGTTCCATTCCAAGTTTTCTGAGGAATCTTCATACTGCTTTCTATAATGGTTATATCAATTTGCATTCTCACCAGCAATGTATGAGTGTAACTTTTCCCTCATATCCTCACCAACATATTCTTGTATATGTTGTATTCTTGATGACTGCCATCCTTTAAAAAAAATTTAAGATGTTGATGGATCTTTATTTTATCCATTTATTTATATAAGGTGCTCAGAATGGAACCCAGTGCCTCATACATGCTAGGTAAGCACTCTACCACTGAGCCACAACCCCAGCCCCGATAATTGCCATTTTAACTGGAGTGAGATGAAATCTTAGAGTAGTTTTGATTTGCTCTAGTTGCTGAAGGTATACTCATCTTTCCTGCCAAGTATCAACATGATTAGGTGAAAAAGTATTTCCTGATATTCCAGGAAACTCAAGAGTTCTGTGGAAGCTCTGCAAATGCTTTCAAATGAAAGTGTATTTTCCTTGCCTCTGCTTAGCGCTACTTCAACCGGGAATAAAACATAGAGAGCGCACTGAGAACTAATTAATGAGTCAAGTTTCAAGCAGCTAAAAATTCAAAGTGTTCTTGCCAACGAAGATTTTTACATATATTTGTTGATTGATTGTATTTCTTCTTCTGTGAAGTGTCTGTTCAATGCCTTAGCCCTCCAAATTTATAATTACATTTTAATTTGCAACATTGTTTATTTGTGCCTCATTTTTTACCATTCTTAGCATAAATTTGTCTGTTTAAAAATACATATTTAAGATCTATTCCAAAGTTACTCAATTTACTAAAAGTCTGAATTCCTCATCTTGGCCTACAGCATAAAGGGGTCCTCATATACCTCTCAGTTGGTCACCAGGCTGCAGCGACAGAAGTCTGAGTAGCCAGAGTCTCCCTGTTGCCTGGCCCTGCTCCTTATTCTTGCAACGGGAAGTTTTTTATCCTCAAGCTTTCCCTTAAAAATCATTTCTGCAGAGTTCTTTCTGGACAACTTGACCTAAAGTGTGCCACTCTTCCTGGCATTTTTTCCTCAGGATCCTGCTTTCATGTGAATGGGTCTCATGCCACTGGACACACATGCTCCTGTGATGGTTAATCCTGGGTAACTAGATTAAAGAAGACCTGGAGAGCTGGTGAAGCATTCTTTCTAGGTGTGTCTGTGAGGGTGTTTCCAGGGCAGATTCACCTGAGTCTTAGACTGAGTGGGGAAGATCCATCCTCACTGGTTGGGCAGCACCATCCAATCATCCAGGGCTCAAACACAACAAAAGAGCAAAAGAAAAGTGAATTTTTTTCTCTCTCCTGGAGCTGGGGCATCTTTCTCCTACCCTTAAATATCAGAATTCGAGTTTCTCCAGCCTTCGGACTCCAGACTTACATAAGTAGCCCCCTGGGCTCTCAGGCCTCTGGTCTTGGACTAAGAATCTCACCATCAGCTTCCCTGGGCCAAGACCTTCACACTTGGACTGAGCCTTCTGACCAACATCCATGGGTCTCCAGCTTGCAAATAGCCAGTTGTGAGACCTCTCAATCTCCACAATCACATGAGCCAATTCCCTGAAGAAATTCCCTCTCATGTATCTATGTCTCTATATATCCAATTGGTTCTGTCTTTCTGGAAAACCCTGATTGGTAGAGTTAGTTTCTCACTGGTAGATATTTTACGACAACACACACCCTTGCCCCACAAACTATAAACAATGTCTAATGCAGAGCCAGGGCTACAATAAATGTTTATTGATAAAAGAGAGAATACATCTGTTCTATTCATGGCTTTATCCCAAAGCCTAGCAGAACATATGCTGCATACTAGACACCCAGCAGAGCGTATACATGCCTGACCAGGAGACCCCTGTCATTTCAGTTAGTTGGGGGTCTAAGAGGCTACTCTCAGAAATGATGAATGGCTGGCCCAAGCTCCCTGCAATACAGAAGTTTGACCATCAGACCAGACACTTTTCCAGCATCTGAATCCCCTATAATGCTTTGAGAACATGTGACTTTATTGGAGAAAGAGCACCAAAGCTTCCTTCAGCTTGTGGTTAAGAAGAAACCCTTGTCCTTCCACTCCTGTGTGTCTACTGAGGGGTGGGAATTCTCACTGTTCCACAGAATTGTGGAGCTCTCCGCTGGACACCATAGGTCTCCAGAACAGCCTCTGCTTTCCACCCTATGTTGGGGAGCTCTGCTGGTGAGTGTCGGAGAACTGGTATTGTGAGATTACAGGCTCTGGCCACAGCACCTTTACCTTAGAAATCAACAGAATATCTGGAAAGCCCCCTCACATTTGGAAATTTTAAGACACATTTTCAAAGAATCAGTGATCAAAGAAGAAGAATAATTAAAATTATTTTTAAAATGTGTGAAATTAAATAATATGTAAAGAAAGTAATACATGTGAAAATTTGAGAGAGTCACTCAAGATTTACTGAGTATTGGGCCCCAGGCATTGTTCCAATCACTGGGGAGTTGCAGGAACAAAGCTAGGTCCATGTCCTCCTATAACTAAATCCCAAGTCAGGGGAGCTGAGCAGTAACAGTTCATGTGTGAAGCCTGGACACCATCATCAGCCCAGGAATGCTATGAACAAAAAGGACAGGAAACAGAGGCAGGAGCTTGGGGTGGGATAAAGCCCCAGGATTCACCATGGCACCAGAAAGAGAGCAGGGAGAATAAAGGGAAGTGGCAGGAAGGGGTCTTATTTGTGAATTTAGAGCCATGGGCAAGTATTATCTAGTAAAAGTCACCTTCCAGATATACAGAATGAACAAACAGTATGACTTGTAAAGAAGAGAGTAAGGTCAATGTGATTCATGTCGATCATGTCTTTGTGGGGAAAAAAAATTAGTCTCCTTGTTAAAGTCACTGTCTCAACTCTGTCCATAGGAAGACACATCAAAACTAGGAGGTAGTCATGCTTTATTCTTATACCACTGCCTATATGGAGAGTGGAAGGTGCTATAAGGGAAGGGCAACAGTATCAGCTGGTGCCAGGGCATAAAATGAACCATCTGGGATCCCCATATACAGATGCAGGCCAGAGGATAATGCATGGCTTTCCCAGGTGACACTGCTGCCAAATCTTTAGGGCTCACTGCCCACCTCTGCTCTCCAGGTGAGATCTAAGTCAATAGTTCCAGAAAGATGGGGTTCAGCTCCCAGAAACCCAGTGCTCTGAGAACCAACAGGCATTTAGTTCAGCCCCAGCAGGCACTAGTTTTTGGATGATTTGGTTCTGGGAACAAAGTGAGGGCTTAGATGTGTACATGCTACATTCTAATAAGCAAATAAATGCCTAAGATAACTTTAGGTAATGGTAAGTTGTATACAGAAAGTAAATAAAATAAAAATAAAGAAATAGGGAGGACTGAGGACTTTACTGCAGTTTGGGTGACCAGAGCAGATTTTCTAAAAGTAATATTAAAGCAGACTATCATAAGCCAGCAGGCTAAATCTGTGGCACGGTCTGGAGACTATGGAAAGAGCTTATGCAGAGAGCCCCAGGCAGCCAGCATGCTCAGAAAAGCACATCAGAGACAGGGGAAGGGCCAGTCCCCTGGGCCAGGGACATATTCAAGAACTTGGGTTTAATTCTGAGGGTGATGGAAAGGCACTGGAATTTCTAGCCAGGTCAGTAGCATGATCTTTTTTTTTTTTTTATATATATCTTTATTTTTATTTATTTATTTTTATGTGGTACTGATGATCGAACCCAGGGCCTCACATATGTGAGGCAAGTGCTCTACCACTGAGCTACAACCCCAGTCCCAGTAGCATGATCTTTTTAATGTTTTTATCAGAAGTAGGAGTTAAAGCAGGGAGACTGCTAGGAGGATTGAAGTCATCCAAGTGAGAGAGGATAAAGATGGTGAAGTGAGAACAGGATCAGGGAGGCACCCTCAGGACATCTTTTGTAGGAAAGGACTGGGACTTGCTGTGGGTAAAGATGAAAGGAAGTCCCAAGTGCTTGGGAGGTATGGCTAATGATGATGATACACCAGAGAGGAAGATGGGCCCTTCAGGAGGTGAAGAATCTCCTGTGTGAAGGACAGTCCAAGTACCTCTGCAGGAGACTGCTATTCACCTGCAATTCGCCTCACTTGAGAGGCAGGGTCCCACCTAGTGTACAAACCCATGATCACGGTAGAAAGAAGGACAAGGGAAACTTACCACAGCCTCTGAAGTGGATAGGTGTTGCTGTGGCCCTGTTTTGGGAAGGCTCTTCCTTGGACTCAGCAGGTGTAGCTTCAACTTTCCAAAGAGGATCTTCAACAACGCAATGCAGGTGTGTGGGAGAGTTTCAGATTGGAAGAAACAAACATCACTATTACATTTAAAACCACTAACCAAAGGAGTCACATCTAAATGATGCTTAATTTCTCATTTAGTGCTCTTCTTGGATATAAAGGTTTTGAAGTTAGGAATCTCAATATTCATCACTCATGAAAGAATATAAACAACTTATTTTTCAGATAATCAATATGAAATAACATTTATAAATTCAGAAGAAACCTCTCTTAACTCCTGAATAAGAAACATTTTTGACACATCTGTAATCCCAGCAGCTCAGAGGCTGAGGCAGGAGAATCTTGAGTTCAAAGCCAGCCTCAGCAAAAGTGAGGTGCTAAGGAACTCAGTGAGAACCTGTCTCTAAGTAAAATACAAAATAGGGCTGGGGATGTGGCTCAGTGGTTGAGTGCCTGAGTTCAATCCCTGGTACTTCCCCCTGCCCACCTCAAAAAAAGAAACTATTTTTGAAAGAATCAAAATTTAGCATTACTTCTCGAAGTTGATTATTACTCATTATAAGAAACCGTTCTCCTGCAATAAAATGGGCTTGCTGCTCCAGTTCCTTGAGACGAGCCTGAAAATGTGATAAGCACAATTAATAATATTCACAGTTTTCACAATTTAAAATTATTTAGTTTGTTAATCAAATAATTCCCAACAGAAGCTCTTAATAGAATAAAAAGCACTCTGTAATTTACTAAACTGCAGATTAAAAATGCATCTTCCGACTCTTGGTGGAATTCTAGGCTTATGCAATCACCCTCCCATAAACTGAGGGGAACAAATGAAAGATTCAAAAATAATAATATAACAAAATAAGAGAGGGAAAGAAAGTATTTTATAGTAATATTAGGGCTAGAAAGGGATCCAGCATCCTATGAAACAAGACAGAATATATAAGTAACAGGCTCGTATCCAGAATATTTCAAGATGCCCTATGAATCAATAAGAAAAGAAATACAAATGAGTGAAAGACTTGAGCAGATCCTTTATAAAAAAAGAAAATTATAATAGCCAATGATGATAGAAAAGTGCTAAACCTTATTAGCAATTAGGAAAACAAAACCAAACTTATGTGTTATCATTTGTGGGGGAATACGAACAACTGACACACTTTTCAAACAATCAATATAAAATAATGCTCATAAATTCAGAATAAACCTCCCTTTTAACTCCTAAATAAGAAATGTATGGATCTCAGAGTTTGGCAGACACCAGTCTCAGGAGTCCACAGCACTGGGCAACACAGAGTGACGAGGTGAGGTCAAGAAACAGAAGGCTGAATATAAACTACTAATTTACTTACAGTCCAAACTAGTCACACTATATTTCTTAGGCATTAAAGTGGGAAAACAATAAAGAAAAACAATGTGAAATGACTACAAAGGCTAGCAGCAAGGATTTCTGGCAGGGAAGTGCACAGAGTTCTGGGCATCCCAGACTTGACCCAGGTGATGGTTATACCAGAGTTTCCTTTAAGGAAATTTAGGTGAAACATCTTTATGTATTTTTTCATGCAACTTAAGTATCTTTCTATATTTTTATTAAAAAACAAACAAACAAAAATTCCTTCACCAAACGCTAGGGGGCAACAATCTTACAAGAAAAACTTAACTTTGGAGGATCCTGAGGATCAGTTAAAGCAATTCCCCAAATATGCATTAAATACAGTGCTGCCCCACCCAACCTACACACACACACACACACACACACACACACACAAAGATGCCATGGGGTTTAATCCTTCAATGCTTGATCCTTCCCTCTAGGAGTTTGAGAAGAGAAAGAACAGCATTACCATCAATCTAGCACTAGCAAGGAAAGAAAAAAGAGTGGAAATTACTAAAACCTGCCACTGGGAATCACTTACCAAACTGGAGAAAAATGACAAGGGCAGAGTCTGAAATAATAACTTACCCCAAGAAGTGTGGATGTCCTCTCCATTTCTTCCTTGTTCACCTGAATCTTGTGGTTTTCCATCACTGTAATTCAAACTCCAAGTCAGATCATGTCCACATTGCAGTAACAAATCCCTTTCAGTAAAGGTGACAGTCTTACTCCTCATGAAGACCACAATGACAGCACCTGCTGCTGGCCAACCTCTGCAGAGGGTCCGTCAGGAACATCCACAGTGCTGGCTTCAAGGTGGGCATGAGCATGGGCCCTGCACTGGCCAGCCCCAGCCTGGCCCTTCACACACTCTGGTTGGAAAGTTGACTTGGCCAAGGAGACTCTGCTCTCCTGTGGGCCAAGAAGGACCTAGCAGTCTAAGACAGAAGAAGGCCCTGCACAGGCCAAGCCAGGAAGGGCACAGGACACTAAGCAAACATGAGAGACAAGGATAGCAGTTAAGATATCTCATGAGACCTCCTCCTTCTGGCCAGAAAGAACTGAATGTCAAAATCATCGAGTCCTTCTAGTCTAAGAGGTGGTGCAGCACAACCCCTCTTCAGGGCCCATGAGATATAGTATTTATTCCTAAATAAGCTAAAGAGAGAACACTCATTTCCAAACAATGTAGAATTCTCTACAAAAATGACTATACTTTGTCTTCGTGGCAACTTACCTGCCAAAATTGGAATCAGAGGAATTTCCAGAGTACAAAATAGTTGCCATAAACCATGAACCTATGAAGTAATAATAAGGCTACTTTAAGTTACATTCACATCAGCATTTTGTTGAAAAGCTACTTGACTTTTTTGAACTAGAATGAAGACAACTCCTATCTAGGTGGGTTTCTTCCCCAACATCTATTCCTTTCCCCTATTTTTCCTAATAAACTCCTACTTCCATTATATATTCTACTTTATCATCAAGACCTGGTAGAGACAGTCACAAATGGCAAATAGGCTATGCCCCATTCCAGTTTTCTTTATTTTCTCATTTTAAAGATTGATTTAAGTATCTGTAAACAGTTAGCCTTTAATTTTAATTTTAGTTTCAGGACAGGCTTCCTGAATTTCCATCAGTTCACCTAGACTTCACTGCCCCTAGTCGGGGAGTGTGTCAAATGGCACTGGAGCCCTCATTCCATGTACTCAGAGTATGACATCCTCCCCACTGACATCACCTCCTGGGCTCTTCCTTGGAGTTTGTTTCTATTCTTTCTTGCTACCATCAAGAAGTCCTGGGTCTTATTTTCTAGCTCTCCTCCTCCCCTGCCCATTTCTCTGCCTATCCCTCCAGACCCATTCTCTGCCTTGCCCTGGGTCACAAGGTAGGGCCAGTCTTGCCAGGTCACATCACCAGGCTCCCTCTCTGTGCTCAGGTGAGTTTCCCCTGTTAGAGCCAAGCAGAAGGGCAGGACAGAAGGGAAAAGAAACAGTTCAACCTGGATCCCAGTAGAAGAAAAGTCCTGGCCACTGCCTGTCCCTAGAGGTTTCTCCATCTTGCTGCCCCCTTCACCATGCCCTTGCCTCAGGACACTGTCTCTTCCTTCAGCTCTTCTCAATTGTCCCTTCCATGGCCATAGCTTCCCAATAAGACTGATTGAGGAAAGCTGTGCCCATTTCACCACCAACCAAAGCATTTAGCTTTCATGTTAACCACAGCATCAGAAACAGCCCAGTTAAAGGGGAGGCTTTGAAACACGCTAAATTATTTTAAAACTTCAGATTTTATTATTCTGATCTTTTCTTTTCTGAGTGAGGCACAGATTAATTTGGTCTTAGAACAAATGTTTCACTTCCTTCATGTTCAAGACACAGTGATAGCACCTTGCAAGTATGGGTGCAAGTGGACAGACAACTCTTGTACAACCAGAACACATAATAAAATGTCTTGCCTTCAACTTGGAGCACAGGTCCATCGTAAGTCTGTAGAGTGTATTCAAGTTCATATATATGTTCTTATTCTTTAAAAGAACAAAAGTTAAACTTTAGACAAACTTGGCTGCAATGCTTATCACAACCTGGGAACTGATATGACTCACAAAAATGTTCCTAGGACATCTCAGGAGGCTCTCAACTGCAGATGTTACATCATGTATATGGTGGCCTCACCAGTGACCTCAGGTAGACAAGATTCAGTCTACATAAAGCACTATGCTAGCACGATCCATGAGTAGCCAGACACTTTCCCAGCCCAGGGTTTCCCTCATTTTATAGATACAAAAATAGAATCATTAAGAAACTAAATACCCAGAGCAGTGATTAAAGAAGGAAAGCACAGACCTGGCCTCTGGGACCCCACTGTCTCTCAGCTCTACTACCCCGCACCCACACAGTGGCTGCCATATTTCACATTTGCTTGACCATTCTCACCCTAGGATGGACATCTGCAGAGGCCCTGGGAGACAGAAAGGGGAGATGGGATGCACTGCAGCCTCTATGACACTCAGTTGAAGTCTCCCTCCCATATAGCCCAAGGACCCCCTGCTCAACACCCCACTCTTCCCAGTGGCTCCCAGACTCTAGGCTGCTCAGGCTGTTTGCTGCTAATGGCCTCAGATTAGAGTAAGCACTCAGTGGGTCAGTGGCTGCACATGCCCTGGAGGGCTCTCCAGTCATTTTCTCCCATAAACTACTCATCAGAGGATATGCCTAGGATCACCTCTATGCAAAGCCTGTGGCTGCCACCTGACAGAATTCCACATGGCTGCCTGCAAGAGCTTTCTCAATTCCAAAGCGACCAAGTGACTCCTTTTAATAGTCCAGGATGGGCTAGCTCTGTGGCACAGTACAGCTGTGTGAGAGCCCCGCATGTGACTGGCTTCAAGAGCTCTCCCCTTTTCTCCTCAATCTGCCCTTCTTCTCCAGAAGATGGCTTTGCCATCACGACGCCGCTCCCTCTACCTAAGCTACCTTCCATTCCCAGCAATTCAAACCTCTTCAGAGAAGCACAGTGGCAGATTCACAGATTAAAACCCAGCTTCCGTCTCCTGCCCTTACATGCTGCATGGCTCTCCTAGAGACACATCTATCCAATAGGACATAAATGGACTGCATCCAAAACTGCCTCTTGACTCCCTGGAGTGAGGGAATGAGGTCTCAGCAGGAGCAGGCAGAGAAGATCCTGGCCTGGCTTGACAGTACTGCTTCACAGTTGCACCAGCTTACACAGGGGCACCCATTCTTCTTGGCAAGGAGGATACACGCTCTCTAGAACTGACTTTCATTCCTTGACTTTCATCACTGACTCAGATGTGGGCATGTATAAAGAAACTAGACTTAAAATTGGAAACCCAAACTCAACAATGGCCTCATCTTAACCTTGGGCAAGGTGAGTATACATTAGCTTTTATGTGCCTCAGTTTCTACATCTATAAACTAGGACTGATAATACTGGGGTAAATAACTCCTTCCTTCAACAATAGTATCTCAGCTTCTATTTGGGAGAGTTTCCCTGCCTCACAGTAGGAGTCTGGATAGTCACAGGACCCTGCCTCCCTTGCTGGGCGTGGACATCTGGACCAGTGAGGGAAACGAGATATTCTCCAAAAGCTAAAACTATGGATCTTGGCTTTGGCACCATGTCCACTAGCCTCTGTCCCAGGGTCCCTATTCTTGCAAGGCCTGATTCTGTGGGCTACCCCATGACCATCTGATAAGCCTCTTTTTAAATTAAGGGAGGGCACGTACCTGTTATTTACAGCCCTGCCTCATGGGACACAGACTCTCCCCTTACATATGATGGCCATGAGCATGAAGGGCAGTGTCCCAATGCAGAGGCTCCTTTAACCCTCTGTGTGCTCATCTGTAGCACTTCTACTGTGCAACCTGAACAGAATGGTCCCAACTGTGGCCATGCTGCTCCCCATAATCTCCTCCAAGGTTCTGCTTCTCCAGACAGTGGCTCCTAAAGGCCAGAGCATCTCTAGCAGGAGAGGGCCCAGGCAGACTGAGGTGGCCATCCCAGGAGCTCAGTCACAGAGGCTACATCACTGGCACTAAGTATTTATAAATGAGCAGCTCTCTGCTCACAGAACAGGCAACAATTTGACACCAGAGAATCCATTCAGAATTATCACACTGCACATAGGATTTCCCAGGAACACATACGACAAAAAGATGGAACTCTTGAGTCCTTATTCATTATCCTCCACCAGAAATACCAAGATCAAAAGTATAAGTGCAGGGTCAGGCATGGTGGCACATTCCTGTGATTCCCAATGACTTGGGAAGATGAGGCAGGAGGATCACAAGTTCGAGGCCAGCCTCAGAAACTTAGTGAGACCCTGTCTCAAAACAAAACAAAACAAAAAAACCCACGCGACTAAGGATGTAGCTCAGTGGTGGAGGGCCCCTGGGTTCAAACTCTAGCACCGTAAAAAAAAAAAAAAGCAGTGAAGAATAAGTAAAATGAATGTTGGTTTACTATTTATTGACTGTAAAATAGGAAATTATTTCTAGAAAAATATCAGGATTGTATTAAGATGGGTAAAACTTCATCTTAAAATGACTTACCTCAGGGCTGGGGATACAGCTCAGTTGGTAGAGAGCTTGCCTTGCATGCATAAGACTCTGGGTTCAATTCCCCACACCACACACACACACACACAATGACTCACCTTAATATTACTTGAGGAATTGCCACATGTGCTGCTCACTTTGACTGAAAAGGACTTTTCAAGGTGTTTTGCTACTAAGTCCTCAAAAGAAGGTGTGCCATCACTGGGATCTATGAGCCATGCGGCAATTCTGGGATCAAGGCCTACAAAATCAGCAACTGAAGAGGAAAATGGCAGTTAATCCTCCTAGAAAAATAAATATTGATTGCTTTTCCTACCTTGGCAAGATGCTTAGGGTAATACTATTACCATTCTCTCAAATCACAGAGCCAAGTACTCATGATGTGACTCTGATGTTCCTCGACCATCTCAACCCTATGAGAAGGTGGTCTCCATGGTTGTTAAACTAAAGAAGTGAATCCCAAACAGCTAAGAAGGGGTGGGGACTCCAAGCTCACTTGGAATTTGGATTTCTTAATAATGTTATAAGAGACTGAAGTCAGAACTCGGGCCCACCCTTACCTCCTTCTCCCAACTCTCCTCTCCCTTCCCTCATCCTGAGGCAACTCAGGCTTTTTGATCACTTTTGAGCAGGCAACCGTCTGCTCTTCCACACCCTCCCCTCCCTCCGCCTCTCACATCTCCACAGGTCATTTATGACCCTGCATCATGATGCCAGGAACCTAGGCTCCCAAGTTAAGGAAGCAGAGTAGGAACTGCCTGAGCACACATGGGATCCTCATCACTGTGCCAGGCAGAGACTGGCATTCTCTGGTGTGAAAAAATCCCATAAGACAATGGGGGTACTGCATGTATCATGATGCTGTGGAAAGAACACTGGCCCTGGGACAAAAATGAATAGGAAAAATTATAACTGATTAAAGTACTCTAAAATCAAAATAAAAAACAACAAAAAACCAACATAGATTAATATGGTTTGACTCAATTCTAAAGAGGAAAAAAATAAAATAGGATAAGACTTTTACAGTGATTGATAAAGATTAATCCTTAATATGGCTACCATTTTAAAAACAGTACTGCACCAAATATCTTTTAATTGAATAACAACAGTAGGAAAACACAATGAGTTTTTTCAAGAAAATTTAGTTTGAAGAAGAATTTAGTTTAGAAGATTACTGTAAATATCTGTGGGACATATATCAAGATGTTTTCTAAGCCAGGCATAGTGACACATGCCCATAATCCCAGCAACTTGGGAGACAGGAGGATCGCAAGTTCTAGGCCAGCCTCAGCAACTTAGTGAGACCCTAAACAATCTGGCAAGATCCTGTCTCAAAATGAAAAATTAAAGAAAAAAAAAAAGAATTGGGGGCTGGGGTTGTGGCTCAGCAGTAGAGTGCTTGCCTAGCATGTGCAAGGCCCTGGGTTTGATCCTCAGCACCACATACAAATAAATAAATAAAATAAAGATGATATTGTGTCCAACTAAAAAATAAATATTAAAAAGAATTGGGGATGTGGTTCAGTGGCTAAGCACCCCTAAATTCAATTCCTACTACTCTCACCCCAATATATATGGTGTGTGGGAGTGTGTGTAAATATGTGTGTGCATGTGTGTGTTTGTGTGTATTGCTAAATAGATAAGTTTTGGTACCAGAGTGTTTTAGGCATGAAGGGGAATTTATAACCTAAAATTATTACTCTTTAAGATACTTAAATATTACTTACTAAAATAAGGAGTTTGGGGAATATGTATTCTATTCCATAGAACAGAATAAAGCCCATTAAACAAAAAGAACACAGTTTACCTTTAGATGAAACTACAGTCTAGATCAGATCACATTACATATTATATATTTTCCAGTAACTTTAAATTACACTAGTCTAAGAGGTTTATATATACCAAAGCAGACAGTGTCATGATGTTCTCATGATTGGCAGAGTTGGAATGCTGGATCAAAGTCAGCAATCATTCTGGCTCTTTGCCCCCAAGTCAGCAATGCAGGCTTCAGACAACACTGTCTGATAACACTGGCTGGCCCCATGGCACTATTCCATTCTACTTGCCTTTTTAAAACTCTAATATTCCATAATTAACAGTTCTTACACAGAGACACTTTTGAAAAACCTTTAGGGTCTGACAGCACCTGCACACTCTGGAAGCTGGTCCCTGTAAGCTCCTGCAACTGGCAAACCAAGCCCTATAAGGGCAAATTCCTATTGTGGGAAGAAATGCCAATAGTTGAAAAAGAGACACCAATAAGAAGATTTGAAATAAGCTATGAAAAATTAAGAAAATGATAGAAGCTATAAAAAAATCAGAACTAGAAACACTGAAATTGGATGACTTAAGAAAAATTATGCAAATGAATGACAGAACCCAGGAAAGAAAAATAAAATGAAAAACACTTCAAGAATAAAAACTAAACTGGCAAGGCACAAAGGCAATTAAGATAATAGATAAATTCCTTTAAAAAAATAAAATGAAAAAGAGGAAATTTTAAAGAATAAAAGAAATGAAGAGACTGGGGTTGTGGCTCAGTGGCAGAGTGCTTACCTCCCATGTGTGGGGCACTGGGTTCGATCCTCAGCACCACATATAAATAAACAAATAAAATAAAAGTATTATGTCCATCTATGGCTAAAAAATTTTTAAAAATAAAAAAAAAAGAAATGAATTCTAGATAAGTAGTGATAAATAAATATGACAAAGTGACAAATATGAGAGCTAGACAAGAAGATTCAACATATGGAATAGGGATTCAAAAAACAAATTAATACTGCATAAACTTTGTAATTCAAGTAACTTTAAGCAACACACTAAAGAACATATATTCAGGACAGTGTGGTAAGGGCACAGGATAGACTTAGAGACCAGTGCAGCAGAATTGAGAATCCAGAAATAAATCTAAAGAGGTATTAAGAATGAAGATGGGGAGCTGAGGTTGTGGCTCAGTGGTAGAGGGCTTGCCTTGCATGTGTGAGGCACTGGGTTCGATTCTCAGCACCACATAAAAATAAATAAATAAATGTCCATCAACAACTAATAAAAATATTTAAAAAGAAAAGAATGAAGATGGGCTCTGTAAAGGATTAAATTGTGGCCCCCAAAATATATGTCTACCTGGGACCTTAGAATGTGATCTTATTTGCAATAGAGTTCTTTGCATGTAATTATGGTAAGAATCTTGAGAGGAGACTACCTTGGATTGGGTAAAAGCTGAATCCAATGATGGGCATCCTTACAAGAAAGGGACAAGGAGAAGCCACAAAGACACACACAGAGGGACAAGCCTAGAAGATGAATGCAGAGAGTGAAGTGATGTACTACAGATCAGGCACACCCACGCTTGCCAATCACCACCAGAAGCTGAGAGAGTCATGGAATAGATTCTCCTTCAGAGATTCTAGAAAGAACCAGCCCTTGCCAGGCAAGGTGACCACACCTGTAATCCCAGTGGCTGCAAAGGATGAGGCAGGAAGATCACAAGTTCCAGGTCATCCTCAGCAACTTAGTGAGACCCTGTCTTTAAAAAAAAAAAAAAAAAGTGACCATCCCTGACAACATCTTGATTTCAGGCACCTGGCCTTGGGTCTGTGAGAGAGCACTTGTTTTAAAGACCCCGTTAGTAGTAATGTGTAACTGCATCCCTAGGAAACTAACACAGACCCTCCACTTCTTCTGTAGCAAAAATTAACTCAAAGTGGATCATAGACTTAAGTGTAAGAGCTGGAACTACAAAGCTCTCAGGAAAATAAAAACATTAAGAATTAATATTTGAGACTGTAGACTAAACAACTGTTACTTAGATCTGATATAAAAAACACAAGTGACACATCAAAACGGATACATTGGACATCTTTACAATAAGAACCGTGCTTCAAAGAACACCATCAAGAAAGTGAAAAAACAGCTCACAGGTTGGGAGAAAATATTTGCAAATCATGTAACTTCAAGGGGCTTGTATTAGAACGTATAAGTAATTCCTTATAACTAAGCAATACAAAGGCAACCCAAATTAAAAATGGGCAAAATATTTGAACAGACATCTCTATAAAGAATACATACAAATGACTAATAAGCACATGAAGAGATGTCCAACAGCACTGGCCATCACAGAAATATAAACCAAAACTACAGGAAATATCACGTCACACCCATGGGGATGAAAAAATGTAAAAGATAATAACAAGTACTGAGAAACTAATGTGACTCCATTTTTAAAAATAAATAAATAACAGCAGCTTCTACCTCAAGGCCTGTCCTAAGGAAGGGGGTGTGACCCTTGTCCTTGGAAAAACCCACAGAGCACTCCTAAGCATATACCCACCCTGCTGAGTTGTTTGTCAGTAAATAACAGGAGAGGTCTGTGGCACCAGGTGTCCCTGACTCAGTTAGACTAGGTGAGGACCCATAGCAACCCCCTAGCAACCTCCAATCAGCATGAGACAGGGAAAATACCTGAGATGTCAGATGACCCCCCAGTAGATTATGGTGGTTGATAACATGTTGGGAAACCATGTAGTTTAGCACTAAACCCCTCATGGCCTAAACCAATCAGTTCAAAGGAATCCCCCTATTGTACTATCCAATCACCCCTACCCAACTTGTTCCTGCCAGTAAATGTGCTAATCAATGCTAAGAGTTGTTGTTTGATTTTCCCACGGTATGGAATGATTTGCTGTGTGATGTTGTGACGCATAGAGTATCCCCCCAAAACCTATAAAATCTCACTGAACAAAGGACGGGGACTCACTCCCTGGGACCGCTGTGTCAGGAACGGTTGTGAGTCCAGGCTCAAGCTTGCAATAAAGACTCTTGTGTGACTGCATCGGATTCAGCTCCTGGAGGTCTATTGGGGTCCCACGAATCTGGCATAACAGTACCGGCAAGGATGTGGAGAATTTAGAACTCTGTAACCTGCTGGTAGGATTATAAAGTGGTGTGGCCACCTGGGGCACCAGACTGGGAGTTCTCAAAAAGTTACGTATACACTCACCATATGACCCAGCAAGTCTACTTCTACATGAATATCAAAGAAAATTGGAAATACATGTCCACACAAAAACCTGCATTCTAATATTCATCCAGCATTAATCATAATAGCCCCGATATGGAAACAATCCAACTGTTCATCAACCGATGAATGGATAAATAAAATATGTGAATGTTATTCAGCCATAAAAATAAGTGAAGCATTTACACATGGATTAACCTTAAAAACATTTTTGCTAAAAAAAAAAAAATGTGGCATATATACACAATGGAATATTACTCAGCACAAAAAAATAATAAGATCATGGTATTTGCAGGGAAATGGATGGCATTAAAGCAGATTATGCTAAGTAAAGTTAGCCAATCCCAAAAAAAAAAAAAAACAAATGCAGAATGTCTTCTCTGATATAAGGGGGGTGACTCAAAACAGGGAAGAGAGGAAGAGCATAGGAAGAAGATTACCTGTACATAGGGAAGAGGGGTGGGAGGGAAAGGGAGGGAGAAAGGGAATTGCATGGATGGTGGAAGGAGACCCTCACTGTTATACAAAATACATGTATAAAGATGTGAGGGGGAAAAAAAAAGAATAGCGTTACCCTAGATTAGGTAGAGAGAAGCGATGGGGGGTGGGTGTTGGGGAGATAGGAAGGATAGTAGAATGAAACAGACATTATTATTACTGTGTGTATATATGTGACTGCATGACCAATGTGATTCTGCAACCTATATACTCAGAAAAATGAGATATTATATCCCACCTGATTCAAATGTATGATATGTCAAGGTCATTGTACTGTCATGTGTAACTAATTAAAACAATTTTTAAAAAAAAATTTGCTAGCCAGGGATGGTGGCATGTACCTAAAATACCAGCTACTTGGGAGGCTGAGTCAGAAGAATCAACTGAGCCTAGGAGTTGGAGTCCAGCCTTGGTAATACAGCAGAGATTTCATGTCAAAACAATGACAATAATTTTACTAAGTGAAAGAAGCCAGTTACAAAAGGCCACAAACTGAACAACTGCAGTCATATAAAACACTTACAATATGTAGATCCACAAAGAACAAAAATCAGATCAGTGATTGCCAGAGTTAAAAGAAGGGAGTGATTGCTAATGAATGGGTATAGGGTTTCTTTATGAAGAGATGAAAACATTCTGAAATTATATAGTGGTAATAGATACACAACTGTGATTGCCCTCAAACCACTGAATCGTACACTTTAGAATAGTGGGTTTTGTGGTGAATTATATCTCAAGAAAGCTGCTTTAAAAAAAAAGTTAAACCAAAAAGCTATTTTAAAAGGGTTTTTTTAAAGGTACGTATATACTTTAGAAAACTGACCAATAACAACCAATATCAAAACATTCCAGTAAAACAACAAGATTTTAAAGAAAACAAAAATCTAAACAGAACAAGTCACTAATTAGGAAAAAAATCAGTTTTTCATCACATTTCCAGAAAAATATGCAAAATATAAAAAATCATCATATTTAGAAAGAAATAAGGTGACAAGAAAAGAAGATGCAAACCATTTGCACCCAGCCAAACTTGAACCTCCAAGTATGAAGGAGTCTTTAGGATACTCAAAGGGAGACATAAATTTAAGGTCAATGAGTTTAAGTAAAAACCTTGTCATCTTGAATTTGATTTATTCATATTAGTATGAATTCACGATATATTTTATACTTAGAATCCCAACCTATAAAAAGAGAACAACCTAATAGTAATGAACATAGCCATGACAAAATTCTGGACTTCAAAGCTGTCTCCACTGAAGTTACAATGCTCCTTGAAGAGACTGTAAACCCAAATCTAGGGCAGGAAATGCACAGAAAAAAACCGGAACATCCTTGCCATCCAATAAACCATGAGGTTTGTGTCACAAAGAGTCACTTTCTAACTCATCAAGGATTGTATGCAACAGAACAAAACACATCACACATGTTCAAATAAATGCTGGTTAAGCATGCGGAAAAAAGGGAATTCTCACACACTGTTGGTGAGAATGTAAACTGGTACAGCCATTATGGAGAACAGGGTGGAGGTTCCTCAGAAAACTAAAAACAGACCTACCATCTGATTTAGATATCCTGCTTTTGGGTGCATATCTAGAGAAAATTATATCTAGAGGAAATTATACCAGCATACCAAAGACACTTGAGACACTTGCACATCCGTGTTCGCTGCAACACTATTCACAATGACTAACACATCAATATAGGTGCCCATCAACAGATGAAGAGATAAAGAAAAGGTAGTATATGTACACAACAGAATATTATTCAGCTATGAAAAATAATGGTATCCTATCCTTTGCCACATAATGGATTGAAATGAAGGACACTATGTTAAGTGAAGTAAATCAGATACAAAAAAAGCAAGCATTGTATGTCCTCTCTCATATGTGGATGCTAAAAAAAATGTTGATCTTAATGTAGAACAGGAATAGATAACTACTAAAGGCTGAAAGGATGGGAAGGAGGATGGACAGAGGAAGGGTGGAAAACAGATACCAAAATGCAGGAAGAAATAATAATCTCCAGGTTTCTACAGCATAGTAGGGTAACTACAATTCACAATATCATACTTTATGAAGAGCTAGTAGAGGGGAGCTTGAAGACTCCAAAGGCAATGTAATAATGAGATGGAAACCTTAATTACCCTAATTCAATTAGTATATATTGTATATGGGTATTGAAATACCACTCTAGTTCAAAATATGTACAATTGTAACATGTTACTAAAAATTTAAGAAAATGTTAAAGTAGATAGAAATGCTAACTAGTCTGATTTGATCAGTCACATTTTATACCTATATCACATTATAATATGGCACTCCATAAATAGGTACAATTAAAATGATAATTAATATAAAAATCAAATAAAAGTATATGTAACAAGCAATTAAAAAATCTATATGATAACCATGATACAATTAAAAAGCCTTAAGTATCACTTTTTACTGATTCTATGGACCAATTCACCATTTTGAAGGTAAACAAAGGGAAAGGGTAAGTTTTTATCCTGGCTTTTCCATATGAAATACACTTAGGGTAACCAAATAGATGATAAGGAAGATTTCTCCTTACAGAAGTTATCCACTTGGATCTCACCAAGTTGCAATTAAGGAACCTAGACAATGATAACCAATAGTTCCTGATATTACCATAAAAGAAAAACAAGCGAGTATGAGTAGTTACAGGGTGTTTCAGTCAGCTTTACCTCACTGTGACCAAAATACCCAAGGAGAACCACGTAGAGGAGGGAAGGTTTATTGGGGCTGGCTCATGGTTTCAGAGGTCTCAGTCACAGACGGCCAACTCCATTGCTCTGGGCCCAGGTGAGGCATCACTTCATGGGGGAAGGAAAGCTGCTCAGCTCACAGTGGGTTAGGAAGCAGAGAGGAAGGAGGAGGCCACAAGGAAGATGCATCTCCCAGGACCAACCCCAGTGCCCACCCCTCCATCCACACCCCACCTGCCTATAGTTAGCACCCAGTCAGCCCATTATCACTGCATGGCTGATTAGTTACAGCTCTCACAGTCTAGTTGCATCAGCTCTGAACATTCCTGCCTTAACAGGAGCCTTGGGGGACACCTCACGTCCAAACCATAACACAGGGCAAGTGTGCAAGTTCAAACACTGTTGGAGAGCCTGTATATGAACAGATCACTGACAACCAGAGTGGGTCATGGCATCACTTTAAACTTGGAATCTCCACATTTAAGTCTTACAACTGAAAAAAATATTAAGAGATGAATTACACATGTTTGTGGTTTGGTATAAAATATCAGGAAGAGTATACGGTGTCAAGAAGGAAAAAGACTGAGTTGATGATTGTTGAAACAGTGTGATAGGTACTCATGTGCATGTTAGAAGTTTTCTACAATAAAAAGTTTTTTCCGATATTTTATTATGAATATTTCCAAACACGTGGACAATTTGAAAAAAAAAGTGCAGTGTACACTCATGTATCCACCAGCTAGATTCTACAATGACTATTTTTGCATCTGTTTTATCACTTACTTATGTACCTAGTTTAGGAAGGTTATAAAACAATCTACTATTCTAAATGTGTCCTACACTGTTTTGATGTTACTTACTCTGAATCGTAGTTTAATTCTTAGAAAGTTATAAGCCATTTGTGGTAACAATGCCCATTCATATGATGCTGCATGTTAACTCTGCCTATTTTAAATTACCAAAGAAATGTGCACTGGTAAAAATTCAAGTAGAACCTACATACATGACAGGAAAGTGCGTCCTCACACTTAGGCAGGTGAGGTGGCACATCTCCGTCTGTGTGAATGTGCCTTGTGCTGTATGGCATGGTGGGCTCCACCACCCTCCCACCCTGGGGAAAGCCATTGTTGGAAGTCGATTTTTAGAGACTACCAGAACCATAACTTACCATGCTTCCAACTGCCATCATCACCAAAAAACTGCAGCACTATTCTAACAAAGTCCTTAGCGTTGAAACAAATAACAGGGCATTTACATTTCAGGGTTTGGAACAGCACGTTTCTAGAAGATATAAAGAATTCACTGATTTAGGCATTAATTCTAAACTTTTGATGTTGGGAAAATATTGTTATTACTTTACCAATAGCTATCATTTATAGTGCAGATACACATTGATTAGCTAAAGAATCTTGTGAGGTAAACATCTGCATTTGCTGGGCGTGGTGGTGTGTGCCTATAATCCCAGCACCCAGGAGTCTGAGGCAGGACTGTAAGTTCAAAGGCAGCCTCAGCAATCAGTGAGGCCCGAAGCAACTTAGCAAAACCCTGTCTCAAAATAAAAAAAATAAAAAGGTCTTGGATGCAGCTCAGTGCACTTAGGTTCAATCCCTGGTACAGAAGGAAAGAAAAATAAAAAAACATTTGCATTTTACAAATGGAGAAACTGAGACACAGAGAATAAGCAAGTGCCCAAGACCTTATACCAAGGAAGAGCCCCCAGTATCCAGGCCTACAGAGTAACTCCTGAATTATTACACAGACCATACCCTTCTTACCAGCCCCAAGGTGACTCCCTGGCCTGCTCTGCCCTCCCAGAGCCCTCTCCTCACATCCCACCATTCTGTCATCACCAAGAGTGCCCATTCCTCTGGGTCACCATACTTGCTGGTTCCTAACTGCAGTTCTCTTCCCACAGCTTTTGCAACCTGTTCCAGAGCTGTGTTCAGGAGGAAGCAGGTCCTCTCTCTGTTCCTCCTGTGCTCCTGTCCACATGCCGTCCCCTTATCTCATGAGCTCCTTGAATATAGGATTCATAATAGTTACATTTATTGATTGCCTACCATATGCCAGATACCACATTATAATACACAAGCTTGACGTGATGAAACTTCAAAATGATCCTATCAGGGAGACACTCTATCCACTTTACAGGTGAGGAAACTTAAGCTCAGAGAAGTTATAATTGAGAAGTGGCAACACTTGGATCTAAGACCAGACTCCAAACTCCAAGACACCAAACCATAAATCCCCTGTCATAGTAAAGGCTTATGAATACACTAACGAGGTGCTTTGTATAGGACCAAGAAAGAAACAAACTAGGACACAATGAGCTCCACAACTAAGTGAGTGTGCAGTTAGGCTTTGCTGGTCTTGATCTGCAGACAGTTTCAGGCTTTCCATATTGTGTGATTTCACCTTGGTTTCCTTGAACAGGGAGGCCAGTAGCAAGGACTCTGGTCTTGGCTTGGATGGACCAGGGAGGGCAAACTGTGGGGGACAGAGGGGAAGGAAGGAGTGGAAAAATACAAGGAGAAGAAAGGGTACTTGGAGCCCCTGCCTCTGTAAATGTCTTCATTCTGAAATGCAGAGGGCCTCGAATTGGTGATTTAACTGCCACACTGACTTCCCAATAGGGAGACACTCAGGCTGAATGATGTCTGTTTTGAAGAGACAATAATAAAAGTGTGTCCCATAAGATACAATGGCTAAAGCAGAAAGTATTCTATGAGTCGGTTGCTTAAGTCAATTATGTCACATTTGCAAAATAAAAAGCTATAATAAAAGAAGAGGTAGAGGCTGGGGAGGTAGCTCAGTGTGCCATAAAAATAAAAATAGGAAATCTAGATTTGGGTCTAAAAAGGAGAAAATTCCAAGATTGAAAATTTCCTCTTCTATAAAGCAGAATTAATAAGACCTAACAAATAGTGATAGTGTAAAGGTGAAAGATCATGAGTAAAAAGACCTTGTATCGGTATTTAATGTTATTAAATATGCTTTTGGCAAAAAGTAATTTATATGGATTAATTAAAAATGATTTATTTAAATTAATTTTGAATCCCAAGGATGTTATATAGAATTGGAATTATTACTTCCAATTTTATGGTAATTGAGGTAATATTCCTAATTATTCTGGAACTTATAAAAATGAAGCCTCAACACTCACTTATTTAATAAATAAATATTAGGCACCTGTTCTGTGGCACTGTTCTTAGCTGTGGGTATATAAAAGTACACCAAACCAAAAATTCCTGCTCTCAGAGAATTTAGGAGTGGATATATAGTAAACTAAATAAATGTGATATGCATAATGATGTGGGGTATTCCAGGGAAACATAAAAGGGATGTGCATGGTGCTCGGTGAGGTACTGTTTATCAAGGTAGTCAGTGAAGACATGAGGATAGGGTGAACCAAAAGCCTAATTGATGAAGGAAAGCTTTTTACAGAAAATTTTAGTTAATGAGTGTGGAAAAAGTGATAGAGTTAGAAATAATTTGGACCTGAATAATGAAGCCTTAAAAACCAAACTTCAGTTTACAGTAAATACAGGGAAAGAAGAACAAGTTAAAGAATCCCACAATGAATGGCTTGTGGTTGTGGCTCAGTGGTAGAGCGCTCGCTTAGCACACATGAGGCACTGGGTTTGATCCTCAGCACTACATAAAAACAAAATATAAAGATATATTGTCCACCTACAACTAAAAAATAAATATTAAAAAAAAGAATCCCATAATGAAATAAACAGATAAATTCAGGACATGAGACCTTCTACAAGAGTCTAGCCACATCTTCAAGGTAGAGTCAACAGGATTTGATAAGAACTTGGATAGGATTCACGGAAACAACAGAAGTCAAAGATAACAACAAGATGGATTCTACAAGATGGATTAAATTAGGAGATGAGAAAAGATATGATCACCAAATGTTTGTTATATGTTGGTGTTGCTGGGTTCCTAATTCAAATAAATCAACCACAAAAGGACATTTTTTGAGACAATCAGGTAACTGAAATTTGGATTGGACATTAAATATAAGTTTGAAAATTGTATTGTGACTATGCAGAAAAAAAGGCCATTTTTTAGAGCTGTCCCCTGAGACACATGAGAGTGAAAGATGTGTCATATTTTCTTTAATTCCAGCCCTTCAGCCACCTCTAGAAGAGAGATGAAAGAAGTGTGCAAAAATCTGAAGGTGTTGATATATGTGGATGTGTATGCTACTCTCTACTTTTGCATTTTCAAAATTTATTTTGTTTGTTTGTAAAAACCTAAAGAAATGAGGCAGCAACCCATGCAGATATCTGGAAGAATGCTGTAATAAGGAGGAAACTGAAGCCGTGGGTAGAGGCTGGACTTCACTGAAGAGCAAGGAGGGAGAAGAGGTGAGGGCTGCAGAAGGGTACAATATGAAGACTGGCAGTGGGATAGGGTCCTAGGAACTTTCACCTTGCTTCAGAGACAGCAGGAGTAGTTACAGGGTTTTGAGGGGCAATGGCATGATGTAATTTCTGTTTTCCTATGTCCCTCTGGGAGATGATCTGAAAACAAGCAGAAGGGCAGGTGGAGTAGGAGTACATGTGGAAGCTCTTTCTGCAGCTCAGTGGCCTGAGGTATGGCAGCAGCAATGGTAAAGGTAGGGGAGAGTCTAGCCACATCTTCAAGGTAAAGTCAACAGGATTTGCTAAGAACTTGGATAGGGTTCATGGAAAAAAACAGAAGTCAAAGATAACAACAAGCCTGAGCTCAAAGAAGGCTACTACTAACACTGACCAAGACAACCAGGCTGCAGTGGACAGTTTCAAAGGAAGATGAGTGCTCAGGACACCTTAGTCTGAAATGACTAACAGATGTCCACATTGACATAGGATACATAAATCTGGAATTCAGAAAAGGCTGTCCACATATTAGGGCTCTATTCTCCATAGACTACACTTACCTACTTGCTCTTTTAAAAGAAAAATATATAAAAAGAGAGCTAAGGATTTCTTGGGAGACATTTTTTTTAAAAAAACCACTAAGAGCTCCATTAGCCTGGGTAAGATGAGGAAGACTGTGCCTACCCTGTCTTCCTTCAGAGCCATCAATTACTCTTCAGGATTGTGATCTTTTTCTTTTAATTTTTTTTTCATAGCTTTATTGAGGTAAAATTGAAGTACAATAAAATACACATATTTGCCATTTGATCAGTTTTGACATGTAAGTAACCAATAGAATCAATATAAAAAACATTTCTATTACTTTTTTTTTAAATTTAAAATCATGCAGGCTGTGTTTCCTGAATGATTTATTACATTAGAAATCAATCTTAAGATATACAGAACCCCACCCCTACATGTCAACTATTTCAAAATTAAATGGCACACTTATAAATATCTTAGATGTCAAGGAAGACACAAGAAAAGTATATAAAAAATGCTTTGAACTAAGTAATAATAAAAGCTTAAAATATCAGAATCTCTGGAATGAAACAGTACTCAAATAAACATTTATAACTTAAAGTCCTTGTATCAGAAAGAAGCTAGAAATACAAATTATTTTCAAATTATGTAGTAGGAAGGAAAAAATAAGACTAGGAACAGACATATATGAAATAAAGAAAAAATAATACAGTTAAAAGTTGATAAAAATCAAACAAGTCTAATCAAGAAAAAAAGCAAGAACACAGAAATTAATATCAATGAAAGGGGAGTTTATCAAAATAACCCTATAAATGCTAAAACATATTAAGGTAATATTATAATTATATGCCAACATACATGATAGCTTACATAACATGGTCATATTAGAGAAGGATCCATGTGCTGCTGAGAAGAAAGTGTATTCAATCATTGATGGATGAAATATTCTATATATGTCTGTTAAGTCTAAATTATCAATTGTATTTTTTTATTTCTATAGCCTCTTTATTTAGTTTTTGTTTAGTGGATCTATCCAGCAGTGACAAGGGATGTTAAAGTACCCAGTATTATTATGTTGTGGTCTATTTGATTCTTGAAATCAAGAAGGGCTTTTTTGATGTACATAAATGCTCCATTGTTTGGAACATAAATATTTACTATTATTATGTCTTGTTGATATTTAATTCCCTTAAGCACTATGAAATGGACTTCTTTGTCCCTTCTAATTAACTTTGGCTTAAAGTCCACTTTATCTGAGGATAAAAACCCCTGCTTGTTTATGCAGTCTGTGTGAGTGATATGTTTTTTTCCCATCCTTTCACCTTCAGTCTGTGGATGTCTTTGCCTATGAGATGAGTCTCTTGGAGAGAGCATATTGTGGGTCTTGTTTTTTAATCCAATCTGCTAGCCTGTATCTTTTGATTGATAAGTTTAGGTCATTAATGTTCAAAGTTATTGAGATATTATTTGTATTTCTGGTCATTTGGGTTTATTTCTAGTTTTTAATTTGAATTAGTTTCTCCTTTGATTGAATATCCCTTTAGTGTACTTCCTCCCTTTGCTCATTTTCACTTTTTATTTTCGTTTAAGCTTCATGGAATATTTTGTTGAGAATATTCTGAAGTGCAGGCTTTCTAGTTGCAAATTCTTTTAACTTTTGTTTATCATGGAAGGTTTTTATTTCATCTTCAATTCTGAAGCCTAATTTTGCCAGATGTAGGATTCTTGATCAGCATATATCTTCTTTCAGAGCTTGGTATATGTTATTCCAAGACCTCCTAGTTTTAAAGGTCTGGGTTGAGAAATCAGCTGAGATCCAAATTGGTTTCCCTCTATACATAATCTGATATTATTCTCATGGCCTTTAAAATTCTATCCTTATTCTGTATGTTAGGCATTTTCATTATAATGTGCCTTGGTGTGGATCTGTTGTAATTTTGTACATTTGGGGTCCTGTAAGCCTCTTGTATTTGATTTTCCATTTCATTCTTTAGGTATGGGAAATTTTCTGATATTATTTCATTGAAAAGATTGTGCATTCCTTTAGTTTTTGTCTCTGCACCTTCATCTATCTCAATAAATCTTCAATTTTGTCTTTTCATGTTATCCTATAGTTCTTGGAAGTTCTAGTCATGGTTTCTTAACATTTTTTTCTCCATGGTCAACTCTATTTTCAAGATTATATATTTTGTCTTCATTGTCAGAGATTCTGCCTTCCAAGTGGTCTACTCTGTTGGTGATGCTTTCTATTGAATTTTTAATTTGGTTTACTGTTTCCTTCATTTTGAGGAATTCTGCTTTTTTTTCAGAATCTCTTTATTGAAGTGATCTTTCATTTCCTGTATTTTCTCTCTTATTCATTTCCTGTATTTTCTCTCTTATTTCATTTCTTATACCATCCTTTATTTCACAGATCAGTTTAACTATGTACATTCTAAACGCGTTCTCTGATATTTCTTCCCCTGTGTTGTTGATGGATTTTGTTATTCAGATATCTTGGCTTGTTTGGGGAAATTTGTTTTCTCATTTTTTAATGTTGTTTGTGTGTCTATCCATCTAACAGTATGGATCTGAGGCAGTAGAGTTTTTACCCTGTGGACTTATAATGTCCCTGATGGTTTCCAGCACTTCACTGTTTAAGGAGAGACAAATAATAACAACAGCCAATGCAAATAATATACAGCATTAAACCAAATAACTCCTACTATGACATCTACAATGTTAATTATCACAATAAACAGAAATGATATGATCGGTCATCGCCTACGGCAAGTTTGCAAAAGGGTTTACAATTTCAAGTGGTGAACAGGGAGAGAACAGAAGTGATATAGGATGTGATGATTATGAAGGAGGAGGGAAGAAATAAAAAATAAAGGAAGAGTGAAAGAACAATAGAAATTGGCTGATCGCAGAAGAAAAGAGAGAATCAAGGGAAACAGGCAGGAGAAAAATATACACATATAAATTAAATATTTTTAAAAATAAAAGAATACAAAACAAAACTGAAAGTATACAAATCAAACATCCTAGTTCACAAAAAACCAATCCATGAAAAATAACTGGCTTCAAAAATGCTAGAAATGAGGGTTGGGGCTATGGTGCAGTGGTAGAGCACTTGCCTAGCATGTGTGAGGCACTGGGTTCAATTCTCAGCACTGCATATAAGTAAATAAAGATCCATTGACATCGAGACAATATTTTTTTTTAATGCTAGAAATGAGGCTGGGGCTCAGTGGTAGAGCTCCTGCCTCACATGAGTAAGGCACTGGGTTCAATCCTCAGCACCACATAAAAAATAAATAAATAAAGATATTTTTTTAAAAACTAGAAATGAGAAAAAACAAATATGAATATGTATAAGTGTCCATGTACCATTAAGGAAACAATTAAACAGAGAAAAAGAATTTTTAAAAAAATATCTTGATGAAAAGTTATGATATTTTCAGTCCAAACCATATTTTCAGTCATGGAGCTTTGAAAATAGTACTATCCTTGGTAGAATTGAGGACAACTTACTGTTTGCAGTCAGTAATAACTCATTTTCTAATGCTGTGAGTGAGAACAAGAATGTTGCGGAAAATTATCTGGGGCCCTTGCAGAGGCAGTGGGTTTTCACATTTGGACTTTTCTCCCCAATTCCTCAAGCAAGCTTCCATAGAAAGATGGACCCTCCTTTCCACAAGACATGGGGGAGGAGGACAGTGTTTTAAGAGGCTTCTGTCATTTAGGCCCATTTTATTTTCATGTATTCACACAAAACTTCTAAAAATTTAATTAAAATCAGAGCTTAAGATACTACATTAGGAAAAAGCAGGCATGTAAGTGGGATTTAAACATTATGAACATATCACAATGAATTCCACTTTTAAAACAAATCAATTTTTAAAATTCAATAAAAAATGGTAAAAAGGGGTTTTTTTATTAAAAAAAAAAAAGAAGAAGAAAAGAAAAGATAATGAGTGCAGACTTTTTACCTGGCAAACAGATGATATGCTTCTTGTTCTTGGCCCCAGAGAGAGGAAAGCTCTATGTGTATGTAGATACACTGACCCTGGGACATAAAGCCCACCTCAAGAGCACCACAGGCTAAAGTCTCTAGGTTGTCCACTTGACTCTTTAGTAACATCACAATTCCTTTAACAGAGGAAGTTTGAGCCTGTAGATACACAATAAAATAAAATTTCAAAATTAAACATAGACAACACAACTACAAGCAAGATATATTATTTTATAATTAAGCAGAGAGAAAAAGACCTAAAATGGGACTTATAAATAAGCAGTTTTTTTGGCCAAAAGCCCAAACATAATCTTGTTCTCCAAATATGGCCTCCATCCTATTCCACATTATCATGAAAGTCTTAGCCAGTGCAATATGGTAGGGAAAAGAACAGAAGACATACAGATCAGAAGGTATTACACAGTTCCTATTTATAGATGACATGAAAATCTGTGTACAAAATCCAGAGGAATCTATTTTTGTGTATATGTGTGTATGGTGCTGGGGATTGAACCCAGGGCCTTGTGCGCATGAGGCAAGCATTCTACCAACTGAGCTATATCCCCAGCCCCCAAAGGAATCTTTTTAAATCCTGAAACTAATATGTGAATTTGGCAAAGTTGCAGGACATAAAATCAAAAAATAATAAAACCTCAAATGTATTTCTATACACTCGTAATTAAATATATGAAATGAAAAATCTTCTGAAACTACCATTTATAATAATTATGAAAAACAGGTAAAAATAACAAAACATATACAGGATCTACACGCTGAAAACTACAAAATTTCTTTATGGTGAAAAATATCTGAGATGATGAAAGAAATCAGAGACCTAAATGACCATACTCAAGGATTAGAAAACTCAAGTATGTTAATTCTCCCCATGTGAATCTATATAACCAGGAAGATCAATAAACATCAAGTAAAAAAACATGAAAAAAACTACTCCAAGAAAGTGTATCATAATCAAATTCTTTAAAATCAATGATAAAGAAAGTATTGTCAGGAGCTGCCCTGGATGTAGACCTTCAAGTCCTGATGCCCTGGGGCACTGACCAATTATTGCCTTCAGTCAGGATAGTGCCAGGTCTCAAGTAACTTTGGTGTTACCCCAGCTTGGATAGCAAGGCGTGTGGCTCCAGGTGTAGGTGTCGCTGGCGGGGGTTGAATTCCACTCACCTGTTCCTTTATAATCCTACCCCTTGCCTCATTTGAATGGCTTTTCCCCAATAAAAGGGTTTAGCAAATGCTCCTTGTTCTCTTTCTTGCCTGTCTTGCCCCCTTGTGGGAGCTGCAGCTGAGGAGCCATCTCTGAACCCAAAGATAAGTTACTTTCTGGTTCTGTGTCTTTATTTATTCCCTAAATTCACCTGGAGTGACCCTGACTGGTTTAGTAACAAAGTAATTTATGGTGAAAGAAGCTGATGAGGCAGGTGAGGGAAGGACACCTTAAACAGAAACAAGGATAAGGATGACAGTGAATTTCTTGTGTGAAATAAAGCAAGTTAGAAGACAGTGGAGTAAATTGTTAAACTACTGAAAGAAAAAAATGTGATTGACATTCTTTATCCAGCAAAATGTCTTTCAAAGGCTAGGGCGGGGGCTGGGGCTGGGGCTTAGTGGCAGAGCACTTGCCTAGCATGTATGAAGCACTGGGTTCAGTCCTCAGCACTGCATAAAAATAAAGGCATCCTGTCCATCTATAACTACAAAAAAAGTAAAAACTAAAAACAAAAATGAAAGGCTAGCTGGACATGGTAGCACTCTGGGCAACTTAGCCAGACCCGGTATCAAAATAAAAAATAAAGTGGTAGAGCAACCCTCGGTTCCATCCCCAGCACTACAAAAGAAAATACAGAGAGAGAAAGGGGGGAGAGAGAAAGGAAAAAAAAAAAAAAGTCCAGGCACACTGGTGCATGTTTATAGTCACAGCTACTTAGGTGGCAGACACAGGAGGGTCACTTGAGCCCAGGAGTTCAAGTCAAACTTGGGCAACACAAACTCATCTCAAAAAAGAAAAAAGGAGCTGGGTATGGTGGTGCACACATGCAATACCATAAACTTGGGAGGCTGAGGCAGGAGGATTGCAAATTTGAGGTCAATCTGTGCAACTGATTGAGACCTTGCCTCAAAGTTTAAAAAAATAATAATAAACTTTTTTTTCAAAAGGACTGGTATCACCAAAAAAAAAGAAAAAACAAAGCAAAACTTGCATACTTACACTAAAGACTACAAAATATCACTAAAAGAAATTAAAGTTTTAGGGACTGAAGCTGTGGCTCAGAGGTAGAGTCCTCGCCTAGCACGTGCGAGGGCCTGGGTTTGATCCTTAGCACCACATAAAAGAATAAATTAAAAAAAAAAAAAAAAAAAATAATAAAAATTTATATATATATATAGTTAAAATGACTATATTTTATATATATATAAAGAAATTAAAGTTTTAAATAAATGTAGAGATAGCCCACGTTCCTGGATCAGAAAACTCAATATTATTAAGAAAACGAGACTCTCAAAATTAATCTGTGAGAAATAGAAAGTCCAGTGGTCTATTTTCAGAATAAAGTATTTAACCTTAATTGGGATATAAGATCCAATTGTAGTCATTTTAACTATAGCCCTTCCCTTTGCCTTCCCCAATTTTAAAATTAACTGGTCACATAGACTGTAACCCAGATATCCTTCTATCAAAGAAAGGGGCAATGCTACATTAGAGATAAAAGCAGGCGGACTGCTTGCCCAGGGGTACTTGCTAGCCAGATTTGGTAGCACATGCTTCTGGCAGAAGTAAAGTTTGCCAAGCTTGCTGACCCATTTCCTAGCACATGTTTGATTCTTTGTGGCACTCTGGTATTTCTAACCGTTTTCACACCCAGTGTGGGGCTCCATACATTGCCTAAGGGGTTATGGATACACCTCATTAGAGGAGATATATCCCACTGCCTTTTCGAGGTAGCCTAGAGGGGAGAATGACTGTAATTCCTGAAGCCAACAATGGACCCAAAATCAAAAGTGGATTGGCAACACAGTAGGACCCAAGCAAGCACTGCAGCAACTGAGAAGTACTTCTTTCGTGGTCAAAACATGCCAGAGATTGTGTAAGTATGACTGAGACTCTATTCAGAAACACAAGACCATGTCCAAGAAGGAGGGATGGGAGGCTCGGAGTATGCAAGAAACCTTTAATAAGCAGGGATTGAGTACACAGAGGAAAACTTAATTACATGGGCCTGCAAAACATGGGGAATAAAAATTCTAGGCCTAGGGACAGGAAGAACAATGGAAAGATCCCATATGTATGAGTCTTCTTTTCCTTTGAAGAATCCTAAACAGGGAAAATAAACAGTGGTGATGATGGGAGTAAACCTGCACCCATGGAGGACAAGTGACCAGTTGAACCTTTGATTTCCGTATCCACCATGGCTGACAGACTTTATTCCTAATGTTCCTAGCTGCACAGGCTCTTTTCATGTCTGGGTCACATGTAGGGATTTAGTACCTGATAAAAAGCTTCAAGACCTTTGTTTCCTGTGTGTTTTGTATATATGTGTGCATACCTGTGTACTGTACTGTACACAGGTATGCACACACATATATTGTGTCTACATATATACTTGTGTCCATATATCATGTACATGGTATCAAAATTGGCTTATAGATAAATGAGTATTCATAAATTTAATGAATGGATCCAAATACCTTTCAGTTAACATGAATTAAACAAAACTTTAACAAAAGGGTCAATCTAAATTGGTAAGAATAAAAATTCCTTTGAAACTACTAACCCACATGTTTATCTAGGTGGCCAGCCAAGTATTAGTTTCTATAAAATGTTTAAAGTGCAATGTCCACTGCTTCTGAAGGTTTTTCTTTGGCAGAAATAACTGACTTAGTACTAACTAAACCCGTTTAATATCTTGGTTTTCATGGGTAACCTAAATTAGAAATAGGTAAATTAGTTTTAACATAAGTGGGATTAACATGCATAAATGTATTTGTTAGAAGAGACATCTGATTAACTTACAATTAAAATACTAAAACATCAACTAAGTATAAATTCAAGTACTCTTGGGTTCTTTAATTCCATAAGGTAACATATATTTGGGTCTATTAAATGTGTTTTTTATAAATTGGTGAATTAAAAAAAAAAGGCTTAAGATTGTTTATTTCTAGGTCTTAACCTAAAAACAAGGTTACTAAGAGTTAAAATTCTAACAGGTATTAAAAAAGTTTTAGCTGTATGTTAAAAGAATAAGGTATTTCATCTTATTAAAAAGGAGTAAGATTTGGTTGAATGAAAGAAAATGGAGCTCCAGTGATGCAAGGAGGAGTCTAAAAGAGGGTTATGGCTTGTAGATAAAGGCATTGATCAGAGTCTGCACTGAGCAGATATTAAAAAAAAAAAAAGTTGGGGCTAATGATTGGACTCTGTATCTACAGGCATTGGGAGGGTACCAAGAAAATTGGCTTGGCCCATAACTTTCTAATTGACTATGCCCGTTTAGTCTTTAAGTCTGGAATTTTTCTATAACTTCATTTGGTTTCACCCCCTTCCCATTTACCACTGCTCTGGGACAAAGGAATTGACTGGAATGTTTAACTCCATGGGATAGCCTTTACCTTTGGAAAAAGCCTTAATTGGAGGCCATTACCCTGAGTGTCTGATGATTAACTATCCTATCTTATTCAGGATGAAAGCTACCAGTCACTAAGGACAAATCAATGGATTCCAGCACTATTAGGTAATAACCTGGGGATAAAAAATGGTCTTCCCTTCTAAGATCTAGCAGGATGCCCCATTTGGCCAGGGGATACTTCTGGGTGGAAGCCTCCCTGCTGTCCACAGAGCTAAAATACAAGGGCCTCCTGGAGTCCCCATGTATGCAGGCATCTGTGTCTTGGCCATGCTGATTTCTATATAGAGAGGTCCCTAATAGTCTCTGAGGGTCATTATGACCTTCATTGGACAAAGGGGACAAACTGACATAACCCCCTCACAACTAGTTAATAGTGCATTTACGATATATAATGCTTAGGAGGAACAGAAACAAAAGTCAACTTATGTTTTGTTGGCAACCTATGCAAAAGGATCTTCAAGAAAGCCTAAAGGATGAAAATGGCCTCCTCCACTGAATATCAATATGCCTCGTGTAATAAAAATGCCCCAAAGGAGCATCTGAGTATAATCGACAGTGGGGAACTCACTTAAAGTTGATGGCATTATGATAGTGATAAAGGAGACAGGTCAGGCTCAACAATATCCTGTGCTCCAACCCCTTGAATGCAACCTGGGGAGAAAAAGATTTAGACTGTTTGTTTTTTTGTATATATCCAGATTGTCCATCCCTCTCCTGGAATAAAACTTGTTATGTGAATTAAATGCACAGATAACATTCTCACCCAAAGAGCAACAACTTCAGTTGCAAGTGCTGCCCAGGAAAAGGAAACAAAGCCTGCTTTGCTGGAGGTCTACTAACAGTAAAGCCATCTGGGCCAAAGGGACCCTGAGAAAGGTGATCAGTGTTATCTCAACCAAGATTTTGTTTAAGGAGGAAGTAATAACTTGCCCCAGGAAGAAGAAAAAATATATAATATAATATAATGTGTATATACATTTTTTCAGAGAGAGGCATTAATGGGGATCCATTGTCTTTCTGACAAATTTTTAAAACATGAATTGAGTCAGTTTTGCCAGACACACTAAATATATGTGACTAGAGAAATGCATAAAACTAAAAGCTTAGGGGAACACTTTACCAAGCTGGTATTCTCTAAACTAAAGTGGCATGTAGAGGTAATCTTCAGATTTATATCGAAATAACAAATTTAACTGGGGATTTATTTATGTCATTTAATGTTCTGTAACTGGATAAAGGTAACCTCTTCTCAATAAGATATGTGTGTGTGTGTGTGTGTGAGAGAGAGAGAGAGAGAGAGAGAGAGAGAAATATTTTGTGTTACTTTTTACATTGGGCTGGGAATTTAAGTGTATTTTTAAAGACAATAAGGACAGGGTTGGGATTGTGGCTCAGAGACAGAGTACTCACCTACCATGCATTCACTGGGTTCAATCCCCATCACCACATACAAATAAAATAAAGATATTGTGTCCACCTATAACTAAAAAAAAATATTTAAAAAAAAGACAATAAGGACAGCCTAATTTGTTTAAAGGTTGACATTGTAAAACATGGAAGTATTTTTCCACTTTTTCCACAAAAAAATTTGGTTTAATTCATGTTTCAGATATAATGTTGTATTGTGTTATTTGCCCTATCTTACTGAGATAAGTCTCAGCCTCTCACCCTATTCCATGTTAAGATGGCTTCAAAGTAGGCTAGTGAGCTCATTTAAAGTTATGTTCAAATAATATATTTTTGTTGTTAAAGATTACTATGATATCAAATTAAACAGGGGATATAATAAATAAGTAAAGGTTTAGGATTATAAAAATCATGTTTCTTGGTTCATAGCTATTATAAAAATGGAATATTTTTGCTCTTGTTAATTTCATTTTGTATTTTTCTTATAAAAATGTGTAACTGTTGCCTGTTAATGTTTTGCAGAAGCACTTCTTCTAACAGAAAAACCTGAGTTAATTTGAGACAATAAACCATTACCTATGGGACAGATTGGATATAAAGCTAACTTCTAGTACTGATACTAACCTTAATCAAACAAAAGGGGTTACTATAAAATTATACACCTTAAAGTATAATCCGTTATTATTACTTTAAAGACTGGTGAAACTGACCTGCTGAATGTTTTAAACCAAAATCTGGAGCCCAAAGTAAAATGGCTAAGGGAAAAAAGTAGCCAATATTCTGGCCCTTGTCCTCTTAGGTCAGTCAAAACTCAGGGAACAATGGGATTTCTCTAAGGGACTTGCAACTGCAGTAAGTCATCTGACATCCCAATCAGGGGGATCAAGAGGACCTAGAGAACAGGGAGCCAACCAGTGCACATTCTGCAAAGAGGAAGGTCACTAGAGACCTTTATATTTCGAAGGGAAGCCACATGTGGTCAGCGAGACCCTGATCTATCCTAGCAGATAGCACAACTGATAGAAGAAAAGCTAAAGGATCCAAGAGGCTTCTCATAAGTTCCCAAGAGTGATCCCTTAAAATTTTCAGCTAACTCTAACAGTAGAAAGAAAAAAAAGTCAATTTTTACCAACTTGGTCTTAAACACCTGGCAGGAGAACATAACCAAAGCACAACCATACATGGACATTTAAAAGATAAGACAATGGTTCTTTTACATGTACATTTGTGTTAGTCCTCCTGAAAGTAAGTAAAACTGGGAGGTTATAAAGGAAGATTTTATACAGAGGTACCTAATAAATATCACAAAAAGTTCTGCCAGAGTTATAAATTTGTTCTGAGTCAATTTGAGACCTATCTGAGCTTTTTCTGTTTACTTTTTCTTTGCTGGTATAATTATCATGAGCTGCTGCTCAGACTCCCATTTTGGAGTTTGCAATTCACTTCCAGCCTGGCAACTTGATTTTAATCAAGACCTGGAAAGAAGACAAGCTACAACCAAGTTGGAAAGGACCTTACCAAGTGTTCTTCATCACCAAGATGGTTACCTGATCTGCTAAAAAGGGGAGAACTCATTATCATGGGCAATTTCCACTTCACAAAGTTAATATATCTAGGATGGATGTAAATACCAAAGGGTATGAAAATAAAAATGAAAAAGAAAAGGGGGGGGGACTTTTGAGAAATATAAAGTCCAGTGGTGCATTTGCAGAATATAGTATTTAACCTTAATTGGGACATAAGATCCAATTGAGCCATTTTAACTACAGGCCTTCCCTTTGCCCCGCCCAATTTTAAAATTAGCCAATCTATATATAGATTATGACATCAAGCTCCTCCTATCAGAGCAAGGGGCAGTACTATGTTAGGGATAAAAAGTAGGTGGACAGTTCTACCCAGGTGCACTTGCTAGCCAGGTTCAGTAGCACATACTGCTGGTAGAAGTAAAGTTTGCCTTGCCAATCCACTTCAGAGTGCATGTTTCATTTCTTGTGGCACCCTGGTATTTCTGACACAGTTCAGTGGTAAAGTGCCTCTGGGTCAATCCCTAGTACCAAAAACAAACTAATGGAAATTCTACATCATCACTCACTTACCATTCATGGGGAGGGAAGGCTTAAAATCTTATTTATAGCTTTTCTATCAAAATCAGACATAAAGGGGCTTCTTTTATGAAGCCAAAACAACAAAACCTACCACTGTTTACTAACCTGGTTAGCTATTAGCTGGGTGGAACCATCCTTATACATTAGAGTCACTACCAGTGCAGCTGCCTGCTTGAGCATTTCCATCAGTTGGTTTTTTGACTGATCATCCAAATACCTGATATCACAAAGGTATTTTTTAAAGGTTCTTGAGTCCCCAGAATTTAGCTGTGCTTTAACCTCACCAGCATTTTCTTCCAATGCCAAGTATTTATTTGTTTTCTCTGATGAGTTACTATACATAATATGTTTTCTTTTAAGATTCATGCTTTCCTTATTTTCATTATTAATATTTTCATTTAGGAAATGCTTTTTCTTATGCTCCATTTTCTGTAGGTCTGAAGCCTCTTGATCAAAATGTGGAACAGAACACCTGGAAGAAGCCAATGAGATGTTTTTCTGCTTTTGATCAGCAGACAGCTGACCTGTGAGCCCAGTACTGGAGGAATGAGGAGAAGGCTTGGTGGAACCTCTTGACGTCTGGCCTGTTAAAGACTTAGGATTCTGTAATCAATAGAAAATATTTCATCAGAACATTGATACCTAAGGCAGCTCAATAAACCAAACTAATTCCTGGTAAAACCTGTCTAAGATAATGTGAGAACATGAACTTCACATTATCTATGACCACATTTTGTGTGTGTGTGTGTGTGTGTGTGTGTGTGTGTGCTGGGGATTAAACTCAGAGCCTTGTGCATACTAAGCACATGCTCTACTACTGGGCTATATCCTTAGCCCTCTGACCATACTTTTTAATGAAACTATATATAGTCTTCCACAGTAGTTATTTTTCTCCACCAAGAGAGGCATGCACATCTGTACCCTGGGGCTGGAATGAGCAGGAGCTCAACACAAACAGTAGCCCCAGTTAAGGTAGTTATGCATATCACAGATGGAGAGATGGATGGGAGGAAACTGCATACCTGCATAAGAGTGAGGGTTAACTATTTACAGCTTCCAATAGGCCCCATTATAGAGAAAATAAGATCACCAAAACTTTTGAGAATGTTACTCTACCTACTAAATTTTCTTAAAAAAAAAAACAGTTCAGCAGTGATCCTTTTTCCTCATTCCAGAAATATGCAATACACTTTGATAGATGCATAAACTAACAGGGGAAAAGTCACCCCTATCCATTTCATCATAGGATTAACTAATAATAACCCTTTGTTTTAAAGTTTACTTTCAATCTTATAATATGTATTCATGTTGCTTGGGACAACTGCATACTTTAAAATAATTTTGAAAAAAAATTTACACTTGCTCATAGGTCATGCAAAATTTAAAATTCATACTTATTTTTATTGCAGAGAAATATATGGTTTTAAAAAACATACTTAATTAAAAATTCTGTGGAATATACAATAAAAGGAATTCAATGAGAAAAGGAAAAATATAAACTTTCAGACCACTGATGATCTTGCATGTATATTTTTTTAAAGGGATGATTATGGATATCAAGTTTCTAGAGTGTAGTTTTAATCATAGTGGACATATTTTAAATGTTTGTATGACAGTTTTTAAAATGTTAATATTAACAACATACCAGAAATCATGACCTTTGCAACTTTTTAAACTTGTAACAAATATTTTAAATTATATATATATGTGTATATGTGTGTGTGTGTGTGTGTATTTATTTATTTTTAGTTGCGGATGGACACGTTACTTTTATTTTATTTCTTTTTTTATGTGGTGTTGAGGATCAAACCCAGTGCCTCACACATGCTAGGCAAGAGCTTTACCTGTGAGCCACAAACAACTCCAGCCAATGAATATTTTAAATTCAATTTTAAAACATGTTGAGAAGTTCATGGCTTTTCAAAATTTGAGATCCAAATACTATTCATTCTATCAAGACAGAGATTCCATCCTCATTTTGTTATAGGGGTTAATGATTGAATTAAGTTAGGATGGGGCCAGGTGCAGTGGCACACGCCTGTAATCCAGCAGCTCAGGAGGCTGACACAGGAGCGAGCTTCAGCAATGGTAAGGTGCTAAGCCACCCAGTGAGACCATGTTTCTAAATAAAACATCCCTTTAGGGATAGGGATGTGGCTCACTGGTAGAGTACCCCTGAATTGAATTCCCAGTACCAAAAAAATAAATAAGGTAGGATAGGAACTGAACAGACAGTTTGCTCCAGAGTCCATTCTCTTACTACTAGGCTCTCTACCACTGTTTCATACACAATGTCTTTAATGATATAACCTCTTCTCTCCTCTATAACTGAACCACTTAACTCATCCACTGTAAACTCTGTACCTGAGCCTTTCTGAGCTTCTATTTATTTCCACTAGTCCAAAATTTCAAGCTCTCTTACCTTACCCTGAAAAATTATCTCCGCATCCTTCCCTCACTCTCTAAAGGTGGGGTCTTCAGGCTGACCAGCCCCTCATCCACTCTACTAGAACTCAATTCAGATATAACTTTCATACTTCAGAAAGACATCCCAAATTCCTGTCCCCACTACCCAGAAAAGTAAATTGAAACAGCACAAAAGCAGGGTTAGATGTCTCTCCTATTATTCTGAGAGCAATGTGAACTTACTCCTATCACAGAACTTAATGCACATCATGGTAGAGATCAATTGTATTTCTCTGTCTTCCCCTTTCCTCATCCAAATTAAATTACATGCTCTCTAAGAGCAAGAACTTGATTCTTGCTTGTTGTGACTAGGGAAAGGCGAACAGTTTACTCCACCATGTTCTTCTTCTTGGTTCTCCAGGCCTGGGTGGCAGGCCTCACCACCCCTTGGGAAAGACATATAAGGAATTTTGCATAAGACAGCCTTGTTTGTACACAGGGATACTCCTGAGAATAACCCATAGATACCTCAAAATTTGATTTCACACCAGAAAACTATAAGCGGAGAAAGGGCACACAGCAGCAGCTATGCTTCCAGTCCTATATTTGGCCCAAAGGCAGAATGGGTAGTTGCCCATCTCTGCCATGAACTGAACAAGGATGCAGAAATTTTACAAGTACCTCCAATGAGTATATATGAAGTAGCAATTTTTTATACAATGTATAATTGAAAGCTAGTTGGAAAGTATCACATTCAGTTCTGCACTTGCTTGCTTCGAAACTGACAGCATACTGGAGGCCATTCAGAAGAAGGTTGGAATAAAGGCTGGGGAAATGATATTTGACAAACTTTTCACCTTTATAGAGGTGTAATGTTTAGGGGCCTGTGTAAATACACCAACGGTTCAAATAAATGACAACTACTATGAGGATCTGACAACAAAGGATATTGATGAGCTCAAAGTGGGTAAAATTCCAAAACCTGGACGTTTCTGTTGTGAGCCAGCTGGAGGTCTTACCTCATTGACTGAACCATCCAAAGGACTTGGCTTTGGTGTGCAAGTAGGCCTTTAATTTATATTCAACTATAAATATGTTATTACAGAAATAAAATATTACCTACAAAAAAAAAAGCAAGAATTCTTTTTTTTTCCAACCACTGAATCCACAGTACATATACAGGACACTTAATAAAAAAACTGTTGAACAAATGAAGGTTATCTGTTTAGAATTATCTCTATTTGCAATGATTTACCTTTTTCTCTAGTGATTGATTCTTTCCATCTTTAAGTATTACTGCATCCTTAACACTGGATGTGCTTATTGGTTTTACAACTTTAAGAATAAAAAGGAATAAAAGACATTAAATAAACATTAAAATATAAATAATACAATTAACTAAGAATTGAAAATAGCCTCTATAATCATACTATGTACTCATTAACTTTCTTAAAGCAATATAACAAAATTTACAACCCAAATACACACTGCCATTGCAATAAATAGTTATGTGAAGTTAAAGTATTTTCAAGTTAACTGGTAGAAAATATATGTAATTATGAAATGTTTATTAAAATAATTACGTGGCATTTGCTTTGGAATATTTGATTCTAAAAAAACTCAAAGTCAACATTTTATAAAAATATTATAAGTATTAAAGTTTTAGGGGGTTTTTGTTTGTTTTGTTTTGGGTACAAGGGATTGAACCCATAGGTGCTTTACCACTGAGCTACATCCCTATCCTTTTTATTTTTTATTTTGAGACAGGTTCTAAGTTTCTTAGAGCGTTGCTAAGTTGCTGAAGTTGTCCTTGAAGGTGTGATCTTCCTGCCTTGGACTCCTGATTTGCTGGGATTATAGACATGTGCCAATGCACCTGGCAGTATTAAGAGCTTGAGTAGATTTTCCCCTGTGTGATGCCAGGGATTGAATCCAGGGCCTTAAGCATGCTAGGCAAATGCTCTACCACTGCTGGATTCCCCAGTCCCACCAAGAAAGTTCTTACACTGAATAATGCTGAAATGGGACAATAAGAGTTTCAGTAAAACATCATGAATACAAACCTCTAATTCAGATTCTAATTTTAATAAACCTAGCTGAACAGTAAGTATGACTTGGGAGTCTGCTCTTCACCTATAACTGGCCTTTCAGGAACAATAACAACCAGGAAATGAAATTGGGGGAAAATATTTCATTTATAATAGAAAAAAAATTACTAGGGATAAATTTAACAAAAAAGGTATAAATCCCTCAATAATGAAAACTTAAATCTTATGCAATGGTATAAAACAAGACCTATAAAAATAGAAAGACATATGGGGCTGGAGTTGTGGCTCAGCAGAAGAGCACTCACCTAGGGCATGTGAGGCCCTGGGTTCGATCCTCAGCACCACATTAAAATAATAAATAAACCAAAGGTATTGTGTCTAACTACAACTAAAAAATAAATATTTTTTAAAAATGAAAAGACATAGGATTAGGATATGTATAAAAACATTTAATTCTTTCAAATGTGAATTTAATGCAACTCCAATTAGAGAACCTACAGGGATCTTTCAATTTATTAAAGTAATTTCAAAGGACATGTGAAAAGCTAATTATCTGAAAATAGACAAGAAATGTAATTTTTAAAAAAGAAGACATGGGCTGGGGTTGAGGCTCAGTGGTAGAGCACTTGTCTAGCATGTTCTATTCTCAGCACTGCATACAAATATATAAAATAAAGTCCACTGACACCTAAAAACAAAACAAAACAAAGACTTGCCTTGCTAGATTATCATAACATCCTATTAAAGCCACTCTAATCCAATCAACATGATATTTGAACAGGAACAGACAAAAAGACCTCCGGAACAGAATAGACAATCCAGAAATTGATCCCAGCATTTATGAGAATATACAACAAAAATAGCATTTCAATCCAATAAAAAGAGGCAGATTAATAAATAAGGCTGGTACAATCACATCTGAAAGAAAATAATGTACTGGGAAAACTATTTGGAACAAAAAAGAGAAAGGATTTATGCCTACAACAAATTCCTACACATTGACAAGAAAAGACAAACTCAACAGAAAAACAAGCAAAGGATAGGAATGGGCAATATGTAAAACAGCAAACTTCAACAGCAAACAAATATAATAGTAGACAGGGAAATGAAAATTAGAAACATGTCCACATAGGGACATTTTAGACAACAATGGACTACACATTCAACAGCAGTGTCATATCACCTATTGACACAAAGTGGTTCAGTCTGTGTAAGTACATTTTATGATGGTCACACAATGGCAAAATCATCTTAGATGGCACATCTCAGAAAGCTCTCCCTATTAAGCGATATGTGACTATAAACATTCTTGGAGATAGAGGGGAAGAGAGTCTTGTGCATCACTGGTAAAAATATAAATAGTTAAACCTTTTAAAAAGGCAAATGATCAACACTTATTAAAATTAAAAAGGCATATATCAGGGGCTGGAGTGTGGCTCAGTGGTAGAGTGCTTGCCTGACATGTGTGAAGCACCATGTTTGATCTTCAGCATCACATAAAAATAAATAAATAAAATAAAGGTATTGTATCTATCTACAACTAAAAAATATTTTTTAAAAATGCATATATCATTCTTGGGAATTGGGAGGAGTGATCCAAAGGGGGCATTAATAATGCTATTCCCTAAGCTGGGTGCAGGTCTGTGAAATTTTGAAAGTACAGACCTAAGGTATGTGAATATATAAATATACATATTATATAAACATAAATAATACCTCATTAAAAAACAAAGACATAATCATTTAACCAAAAAAATCTCTCGGCTATCCATTTCATAGAAATATATTCAACAGTAAGAAAACCAAAGGTTTACAACAATATTTCTCATTACAGCAAAGCACAAAAAACAAATATATATCAAGAAGGAAATGGATGAACAAATTATATAACATTCACACAATGAAATACAGAGCCATTAAAAAGAATGACATACAGGGGCTGGAGTTGTGGCTCAGCAGTACAGCGCTCATCTCGTACTCTCAGGACCCTGGGTTTGATCCTCAGCACCACATAAAAAATAAATGAGTAAAATAAAGGTATTGTGTCCAACTACAACTAAAAAATAAATATTAAAAAAAAGAATGACATACAGCTGCATACAGCTGTACTGGTAATCTGAAGATGACTCCAGTTTTGAAAACAATGACCAAATCTCCCCATTTACGTACATGAAGATGCTACCCATGTACCCATGTGTGGGTTGGGTTTCCTGGCAAGCCAACTTTGTGATAAAGGTTTGCACTCAGAAATGCATCTAGGGAGTGGAGGTGGCAGAACTGCACCAAGGAAGAAGCTGCCTAAAATCAGTCATTCAAGGTCTGCTCTGGGCCTGGGCTGGCTCTGCAAGATGTCCCCTCATGTGTCCAAGGAGCTGGGTCTGTATACCCTAGCACCCACCATTGTTGGATCCTTCACTCCTGGGTAAGTGCTGTGTCCTTGGATACAGAAGTTCTGCAGCAGGAACAGTCACTTGGTGGGGCTACCATTGGGGCTGCTAGCAGCGGACCTGGGCACCCAGGTGCTGGCAGTGATCACTTCAGTCCACACTGCTGCTTAGAGCCCTTGCTTCAGATTCCCTCTGGGAGCAGAGCCTGCAGGACCTGTTGGGCCTTCATCAGCAAAGGAAGGTTCATGGGATGAACAACATCTTATCACTGCAGCTGGTCTCAGGTTCCAAATGACATCCATCTCCCTACTCTACTCTCAGTCTAAGGTACCCTCACTCTGGCTTAGTACCTCTGCTGGTCTAGGTGCCTTCCTGATGGAATGACCCAAACCCCCATCCCTGACAGCTAAGCCCCTGGTCACTGTGCTCTTCTCTGGCTATGGCCCCTAAATTTGCTATCAAATTTGGGCAGGAAGGTGACCAGTCAAATCACCTGGGTGTTCTCTTGCCTAAGCTTGGTAATTGTACCTCCTCCCACAACCAAGGCCAATTACCCTAGCAGGATGGAGACTACACTCCTCACTTGCCAGTCTCTCAGCACATGGAGACTGGAAATGACTGAGCAGCAGCCAAAGCTTGAAATCAAATGGCACTTTTTCTGTGCCTGTGGAAGATTTTGCTCTGTGAGTTAAGACCTGTAAGCATGTAGAAACCAGAGGAAAACAAATTTCCTAAGTGATCACTGGGAGTGATGACTTCCATCTTTTGGTTTCCAAGCCCATATATTACATCCTGGGGGCACTGTACTAACAATGGTAACTGGTGTGCAATGTTTTTGCTGCACACCTGCAGGTTTTTGCTCCCTCACTGCCTCTGAGCTGACTCCACAAATCATTGTACTGCTCTACTGGGCTGCAGTACGAGTATGCAGCTGTGAGGGAGCTGGAGGATGTCATGTGGCCCTGCTTCAGTCCCTCAGCTTTATGTAGACCCTTGTGTCAGTGAACATGTGCTCCAGGACCCTTGAAGGATGGAGCAAACTGAGGCCCTGTGAATGGAAAAAGTGAATCGATGCCTGGAACATGCTGATTTAGTCAAGATGAACCACTGTGGACAAGGATGCAGTGTCAAGCACCTATAGTCAAGCTGATTAGGAGGCCAAGATGAGAGAATCCGTTTGAGCCCAGGAGTTGGAGATCAGCCTGTGCAACACAGTGAGACACCATTTCAAACAAACAAACAAACAAACAACAATAAAGTCAATCACTGTAACTTTCATGGTACAGGGGGCTCAACATTGTCAATTTGCCACCAAATGACTGTTCTCAAAGCATGGTGCCACTAGGAACTCAGCACTTGGTCTCTGTTGTTGGAGGGTTGGATGCTCAGCAGATAATAGATAAAGCAACTCTAATGAGTAGGAGCTGCTGGGCCCATGCAGAGCCTCCACCCCAGCCCCATGCTCAAAGAGTAAGCATGTGTCAGCACTGGAACATAAGAGGACAGAAGCTGGTGTTAACTGACCTAAGTCATTCTGTTAACATGATTGTCTGGGCCATCCTCCATGGTAGGTTTTCATGAATGGGAGTTACTTGGTGTCCATCCCATAGATCTACTCATGTGCCTTGCCTCAAGAACTCGTTGGGACAAGTCTTTCAATTTTTCTTATTCCAGGTCTCTGGCAACCAGGCAAATCACTATAATTTCCCATAAGACAATATGTTTTCTCTCTCCACACAGTGTATGACCAAGTTTTACCCATTGATTTCCCCTCAATGTTGTCTTCCAGGGCTGCCAGAATTGGGTTATAGTGCACCTGAAACCAATTTTTGGTTTGCCCCACATACTGAACATTGTGAACCAAATTCAATCTTTTTATTCCTCTATTAGCTGGTGTTAA